CAGCAGGATTGTGTGTCATTTCCTCCCTCGGGCTGAGCTGCCTGAACACAAAACCATCCAGAGGAGGAAAGTAACTAGGTACATTTACTCAGTACTGTTCAATACTGAGAGACTGGTACTTTACTTGAGTATTTCAATGTTTTTGCCACTTTGTACTTCTCTCCCACTTCAATTCAGAGGTAAATACTTTTACTCCACTGATGTATTTAATACCTTTAGTTACTTTGCAGATTTTGATAAATTATTTGAAATATAATCAAGTGTTAAATCAGACTTTAGTTCCACCTGGAGTAAATTCACAAGCTACCCTGCTATACAAAGCTATTAAAACTAGCTGCACCTTTACCAGCTTTGAGAACACTTTAATGATCATTATAAAACATATCATATATTATTCGAAATGGACCAATCTGCACCATGACTACTTTTACTTTTGGTACTTTGAGTATATTTTGACACTACTACTTTTTTACTTTTACTTGAGTAACATTTTGATTGCAGGACTTCTTGTAACAGAGTATTCCTTCACTCTGATACTTCTACTTTTACTTAAAGGGGACCTAACATGCAAAATGCACTTTTGTACGTCTTTTATACATGAATATGTGTCCCCGGTGTGTCAGGGAACTCACCAAGTGTCAGGAAACACAACCCTCTCTCTTTTCCTCCATACCCAAATCTCTAAAACGGGGCTGCAACGGGCTGATTATTATTTGAATTTTTATGACGTCAGAAAAGGGGTGCTCCGCCTATATGGGCAACTCTCCACCTATCAGGGGAATGAGAGACCGCTCGAAAAGCGCTGGAGACGCTGTAGTACATATGCCAGGCCTGTAAGTGGCGCTGTAGTCTGCCACAAAAGCAGAATCAGCCCTTGCAAAAACAGGGCTGGAAAAGAGCAAATAGAGCGAAGTGAGGCACGGCTAAAATGCATGATCTGTTTGGTATTTTGAGAAAAAGACTTTACAGACATGTTTTATATAGGTATGGCCCTACAATATATGTTTCAAATATAGCATGATAGGTCCACTTTAAGTACACGATCTGAGTACTTCTCCCACCTCTGTCTCCATCACATACACTGTATGACACCATCAGTGTCATGTGAAGGCCCAGCTGTTGTCACTCAGCTAAATGATTAATAATGATAATTCGCGTTTCTCCCAATTGTAGAGATGATCTCAGTTATATTGCTGAGTGGCTCTCTGCTGCTCTCCACCACCGCTTTGTGTGGGTCTACACATGCTTATGCAACTGTTATGAATCACTGCTTTGGCCTAAAGCAACATTTCCTTTTTTTTGGTTCCTTACAAAAAATGTTGTGTGTACACACAGTCAGCTAATGCAGTTTAATAGCCCTGAAGAACATCAGGTCCATCCCACCATCTATTAAAAGAAGAAATAACAGAATGTGCCTGGTACAAATGGAAAGTGGAATTAAAAAGCTATACAACTCGGTATTGCTCAGCTAATACACTAGAGAGAGTTTGTGTTACTGACTCACATAGTCTTTGTTGTCATTGTTTTTAGCTGTGTGTCTATGTGTAAGAGTGAACTTGTATCACTTGTGGTGGTAAGCAAAAGCCGCAAAGCCGTCAATTCATCAATTAATGGATGGACAGAAAATCAATTGGCAGCTATTGTGATAATTGATTCAATGATTCAGACATTTTTAAAGCAAGAAAGCTGTAACTTTGATGGATACATGTTCTCAAATGTGAGAATTTGATGATTTTCTTGTTATCACATTATAATACCGTTTTGGTTTTGGGTGAAAACAAAACCAGACTTTTTAAGTGGATGAACATTCTTTTACTGTTTTCTTATGTTGTATGCTGCACTGTACAATCTCAATAAATCAATTACTAGAACAACCATCAGATGAATCTATAATACAAGTAGCTGGCCAACTCACTCTATATTTAAACATGTCACAGATAATGATTTTATCACAAAAGTAAATCAAAACATAAACACACTGTAGTAGCTAACGTTTGCTAATGTTAGCTACCACAAGCTATTGGTGACACCAGACCAAGTAAGTAGGGCTGCTCGATCATGGCAAAAATCATAATCTCAATAATTGATATCACGATTATTAAAAATGATTATCCATTTACTTTGAAAACATCCATTTATTGAAAAAAACGTTTGAACAGTATGTATTTAACAGTTGATTACCCTGAACTTTAAGTATAATTCAACTGAAAAAAAAAAAAAAAAAAAACCGTTTTATTTCAATTATGTTGTTTTCATAATCGTTGCAAGCTAAAATCGTAATTGCGATTAAAATACGATTAATTAGCAGCCCTACAAGTAAGGCCGCATGAGCAATATTGCTTTTCACCGCTTATACATTTTGCATTTTGTTTGAGGTAGATCTTGTCAATTATTCCTTCAAATGTGACATAGTCCTGTGAGATGGACATGACTGATTGCAGTGCTGTTCTATCAGCTTGCATACGTTTTAGCTAGTGGTATGAACCCCTAAAGAGAAAGCACACACAACCTATTAATGACTGCTGTTTAATGGCACAATATATTAGCCAACAAGACAAATAACATCATGTACTGAATCATTATCCATTTAGCTGTACCTTTACCTTTGGCACATACAGACGGTTTTCCAACCTCCCTAAATGATTATCCAAAGTGACCTTGTGTTGCTGCAGCAGCATGTTCTGTCCAGATGCCATGTCAGCACTGCAGTTGTTGACAGAGGTTTAGAGAGCGGCCATCTGACGGCTCGGTCCAATTACAAAAGTGCTTCCCAGACATTTGAAGTCTGTCGTAGCATGTGGTTGCAGATTTACATGTGGTAATTGTGAGGATAGTGTTTTAATCATAATTAAGTCCACATGCATGGGTGGATGTAGAGCTCTAATGGGGTTGCTTTTTCATCAGATCGGAAAACTGGGGCAGTGTAGCTGCACAGGGGGGGGTGGAGGAGGGGGTAACTGTGCTTGTTTGTGGAGACCTTTGGCTAATAAATAACTAGCGTGTTTCTCACTTTGGTTAGCTAGGAATTCTGTTGTTGAGACAAATGTAAGTGGTCGCTTCCTTTGGATTTCCTGTTGTTGAGGCGAGTCAACTGTCTCACTACAAATGTTCTTTCCGTCCACATCAGGAAAAGGAAACACTTCAATTGTCCCCGAGCCGCATGCCCATGTTCACCTCTGCATGAATGGCATACCTTCGCCTGGAGACATTCCTTGTGTTGCCGACCTGGCTGCTTCACACACTGTGCACATCTGTTCACTGCTGAAGACAAAGGGAGATAGCGTTATCTGTGGGGATCTGTCAGCTGTAGTTGGTTCCCACAGGAGAGACTCACTGTATGTTTAAGGGACTCAGGTTCTAGCCTTTAGGGATGCACTGGGATCTGTTTGGACCTCTGGGAGGGACATGTTTTGTTCTCCTCGCAGTGCTCTAACTGCGGCAAACATCTCTCTGCAATGTGAGCTGCTTTTGGCTTGGTCAGCCTGGATGTTTATTGACCTCCTTCCTCTCAGAAACACAACTCAGCAACCCGTGCAGACAGTAGCTCACAGATCGATCGTAAACAAACACCATTACAATCTAGACTGCATCTGGAAATACTCCGTGTGTAAATCAAACTTAATTCGAAGCTCTTTTTATTGCAGTCTATTTCTGTTTCCCAAATAAAACACAAAGAGCTGAGTCTGTGCAATATTTTCCCCCCTTATTTGACATTGTTTGTTGTGGGAAAGCTATATTTACAATGTAGTTTTAACCTCAGACATGTTTCCCTGCAGCTAAATACAGAGAGGAATTCAAAGCTCGATCATCGACCGAATCGCTGCGGTGAAGTCAGAGAAGTGAGTGAACTGTTTCAATACTATGAACTTTTTGGAAAAGAGCCCTGCTTCCCGTGCATTCTGCTGTGTTACTATGTCAACACCGTTGGCATAAACATGTTTGCTGCTATTACGAGGTGTCCTGTTAAAACCATCATGACTAACAAGGAGTGTCTCCAATCTTTGTTTTTAAAAAAAAGAAACTCTTTGTACCCACTGGTTTCCCCAGAGGAAGTGCAGCTGCAGTTTTCATTTCCTTGAAACTATTTTGCTGACGTATTAAACCAAATCAATGAAACTTTATCCACAAGTTTACGTGCAGTTAAAAATACCCTGAACGTAGATGTGGTCCCTCAATCTGTACAGATGTGAAGTACGGCAGTTTCTTTATGACGTGTTTTTCCTCCAAGAAGTTCCATCACACCTACCTTAGACAATTCTTTAAAGATACATCTTATTCTTTCCTGTCATTGACGAATAAACATAATATATGCTTATGTGGATATTGTTCGATTACTGAAGTCATATAGTCAATAAGCCAGTTAAACCAACATTAATGTTTCTTCACTGTGAATTTTAGTAACTTTTCAAATACATATTGGTCCTTGCCTGTTTGTCTCAGGGTGAGAAGTATCTCGTCCTAAAGAAGGAAGTACAGGCAGATGCTGCAGGATCGAGACGCCAGACTTCACGGGACGGACGGAGACGCTCAGAGAGGTTCGAGTCCGGCCCGCGCTCCGGCTGCTGCTCAGTGGTACGCCTCGGACCCCTCCACTTCTTCTCATCAACAGAAGGACCCGCGGGAACGAGCCCATGCTGTGTGGAAGAGCAGGACGAGGCTGCAGAGGTGACTTTAAAACCAGCTTCTATTCTTCTATATCTCTAAACACACTGGATGATAAGGGACAGCTTCATCCCACCGGCCATAAGACTGTTAAACACCTGCACTTATGAAAGAACAACCATAACATTCATCTGTTTGCAACTCTATATATCAATATATATATGTCATATAAACTGTTGCTATGAACACATGACAATAAAAGCCTTGAACCTTGAATCACAACACCAATTGGGGCTCAATATACTATAGCTAATCTGCTATCAGCCCAGCACTCTTCTTGTGAAGACGCATTTATTGCTAAAACAAGGCCATCGTTGTTAGTGTCCTCTGCCTTTCCTCTACACTGCCTTTTGTCTGGTTCACAGAGGAACACTGGTACGTATCTAAGTTTAGCCATGAAAGCACGGGACGGTCAGAGAGCTTATGTCTTTACATAAGGGCAGAGCTGTTTCAAACTAATGCACAGAAGCACTTGTGAGACAAAACCCTAGAAAGGGCGGTTTAATGCACCATAATCCTCTGGTTAGTACTTCTACATATTGTCCCTGCTGTAAACTTGAGCATTTAATCATAGGTTTGAAAGATGTATTTTGTGCAGCTGTTTTAATGTCCTGACACATTATTTGCTCAAACAGGCATTACAATCAACATGTATCCACACCCAGATGGTTGCCGGCAAAGTGTCAGCTAAAGTAACGTCTGTTTCTTGTGTTGGAACAGAAGACAGGAACAGCCTCCATGCAGCACGCAGTTCTGCAACTTCCTGTTATCCAAATCCAGGAACCTCCAACGAGGACGATGAGCTGGACAAAGATTCGGGGTCAAAGGTGACGATTTGGCAATGCTGGAATTGAGCTTATCCTTGCTTACATTACCGATTGACTGTAGGAGTGGATGTTGTATTTGGTTGAGTCCGAAGCTTATGAAATACTTTAGCAGCTGGAAAAAGGCAGATATGACTCTGAGCTGTAGAGGTGAGTCAAATAGTTCATGCACAAAAAGTTAAAGATCACCATTTTGCGCTCACATCTACAATTAAATAGCCACCAAAGCTATCATTGTGAATGACAGATTTAAAGACAACAAGTAGGAGTTGTTTTAGTTGCCTTATACACACAGAACTTGTAACAACACATTGCATGCGTGCTGTGTTCAAGACGTTCTTATTTAGAATCAGTTTTGCAACGTTTTTATGCCAAACTTTAAACTATTAAAACACTGACAGGAAGCTCGGTTGATTTAAAATCACAAACAAATATGATTTAGTAAAGATAAATATCCCTAATTATACACACATATGATTCCAAATAACTGTGTGGCTGATCTTAAGTATATTTAATGTCACAATAACCAGTGAACTTTGAGCCATGAAAAGCCGACTGCACAGATACACCTCCCTGAACAACAGCTGCTGGACGAGCCCCCGTGGGTTACGGCCCGGCTCATAGGCTGCAACAAAGATGGGAGACCAGACAAGTTAAGTGTAACAAAAGCATATTTATTTACAATCCCACAAAAACCAAAGGTCTTCAAAGAAACCTAATAAATGTGGTAATGATTGCGTGTGTGAAAATGTGCAGAAACAAAGACGCGGCCGTGTCCAACAGAAGAGTGAGAGCGCCCGGCGGCCCAGGTGTGGCTCATCAGGTTGATCACCGGAAACACAAACAAGAGCCAGGCAGCAGAACTCAAAGGTAGAGACCCCTAGTGGAGTGGAGGGGGTCATAGCAGTGTGGAAACTAGTTAACAAGCCAAGAGAACAGTCAAAGATAAGGATCAAAGTAATACATATATGGTTTCAATGTCCATCTTCTGCCACTCAGTCATAACGATACAGTACGAATAGAGAATTGACCGAACCAGGTTAAAAGAAGGGGAAAGAATGACCTAAAGATACTCAATTATCTAATCTGATGTGTTAAATTAATATTGTAACAACTTTTAGTTTGATATAATAGTGTTGAGTAACATCCACTTCAAATTCCATTCAAAAGAACATATTGAGGAGTTGTTTTTGGAGTATTTGAGGTTATCTGACAGGGACGTGGGGGTCAATAAACTGACCTACTTTTCTAATCATCATATTTCACAACTAGTTACAGTTTCATTCAGGGCGGATCTGAAAAGCTGTGAAATAGTTTATAGACATGTCAGGTAAAATAGCTGTTGGACTTTACATTCATATCAAAAGGAACATTTACACAACATATGGTAAGATATCATTTTAGGGAACAATGACAAAGCAAATAAACACACTGTTTTAGTGTCTGGTCATTCTCAGTCAAACATAGACAAGCTGTTGAAGTCACCTGATGCAATATATTATAATACTCTTTATATTTCAAAACATAGACCTCAAATATTGTGGTGGAAATAACTTTATGCAGCTCTGTTTGAACTGTTTATGAAGACACAGGGGGGGTCAAACTCAAATACACAGTGGGCCAAAATAAAAAAGTGGGTGCTAGTCGAGGGCCGGACTGGTTCAATGTTTAGTGCAAAACGTATTGAAATGAACTTATTGCACATATTAAACCTGGAACTAACAAAGCTTAAATTGTTGCCTATAAAAACAACATTAAATAATCAGTTGCATTCATTTCTTATGGCTCTATCTGCAGAGTCATTTCTCATGATTACATTTCTCCACAGGCCAACAGCAGCTTCAAAAAACTATTCCCCTCCTTTATCTCAGTGTGCTGCTCTGTGATGCTAGCTCAGATACTTGGCATCTCATCTTGGGTGCAAGCTCATCGATGTTTGGGCTCAGGCTCTGAGCTGAGGAGACCCTCAGGATGGAGTGAAGGTGTGTGCGTGCAATATTCCGGCGGGCCAGATCTAATAGTAATTAAAAATGATCCTGCGGGCCGAAATTAAATCCACCAAGGGCCTGATTTGGCCCCCGGGCCTTGAGTTTGACACATGTGCACTAAACCATTAACACTGTTTTAATTTCTCATTTTGATTGAAACCTTTTTGTGTCGAAAGAGATGAACTAGCACTATAACTGTAAGCTAAGTGGACTTTAACTCACACATTTAATTTAATATTCCATTCCTTACACACTTAAAGTAAATAATATCCTGCTTTATATTGTGTTAACTGAAAGTTCACCCTTCAATAGCGTTGTGTTTGTCAGATGTGTATACCTTGTTTATCTTCACGGTCAACTTGCCTACTGTTTTATTTCCATTTTGAGATGTTTCTATTTTAGCATTGTTTATTTCTACACTTTTAATTTCTACTTGTGTTCAATGCCTTGTTTTTTATGCTGCTGCAACACAAACATTTCCCAATTTGGGATCAATAAAGTACATCTTATCTCATCTTAGTGGTTAGCACCTAATGCAATTAAACATTATCATAATTAAATTCATTTAAATTCCGAAAAATATCATTAAAATGTGTTTTAAGCTCAGAGGAAGAGCACCACCTGGACTGACATTAAAAACGGAACATTTCACCTCCTTCAGCCACCAGGGGGAGCTAAGTAAATCCCCCAGATGTGCACCCTGCAGTATGTGGAGCTGAGTGGGAGGAGGACCCATTGGGGGAGAATCAGCATCTAAATGAATCTCTCTGTTATGTTAACCAGCAACATGTTGGAACTCATTAGAAAGATAATAATCATTTGTGTCCATTAAAGACATTGAGATGCGTCCCAGAGGAAGGTATGTGGCGCTCCTTGATGACAGACGGAATATGTTGGAGTGTAATACAGCAGCAGTATTCAGATTAGGTGCGTTTGCTTAAGGTATTAGTCACACCATTGAAGGTTATATTTGGGACACCCAGTGTGGAGAGTTGCTTCATATTACACAAGCTACCAGGCGGGTTTTTATAAACTATTCTTAATCACACACCTGAGGCTGGAGGCTTTAAAAGAGAAGGGGATTTATGACATCAGGCTCCAAAATGCAGGAGGACTCTCTGGAGTGAAGCTGTGTGCAAAAGGGGGCACCAGCGTCTTAGGAAACTGTCCTATTTTAGTGCTTTAATCGAGTCAATTCTGTCTTTTTCACTAATGTCATGGTTTGGTGACCTGTCGGATCGTAAAGGGGTCCAGCACTGATCGGTGAGCCACAGCTGAACCTGGAGACCCTGTACCTCAGGCAGTGACAGCGGTTATCCAGCTCCATATTAGACGATGATGTCTCCCACCCTCTGCACTCAGAATTCAAGCTTCTTCCTTCGTAGAACGAAGCGGTATAAAAACAGTTTTATCCCAGCAGCTATTGCACACATTAACACATCATAGGAGCGGCACACAGATGCCTATTTTGATTGATTTAATTATGAATTTTAAATGGCCATGTTTGTACTAGTGTTTTCCTTCTTAAAAAGTTTTTGAAATATTTTGAGATTTGGTTGAGCAGGGTATACTTGTACTTTTACTAGTCCTTTTATTAGAGATGTGTCTGTTGTTTGTGTTCAAATAAATAACCTGAACCTGGGATGGAATAGAGAAAATGATAGTGTAAATATATCGGTAAGTTAAGTACAAATAAATTGCAGTACTTGCATGCAAAATACATTTTAAAGTACATTTTTAAATAGTTTTCCATTATATCATTTTTACTCCAGAAAGAAAGAGTCTATCTTGGAGTAAAACATGTGTCATGCTCATATACAACTTTCCCTTATCAGAAATGTGTTGGTGTCTTTAGGAGAAACGATAGCGTGACGATGCAAGATTGACATCAATATAAGAAAAGCCTAGCTTAGCATTGTTAGCATTGATGTTAGCATTCAGCTCAGTCCAGCCTCACTAAGTTGCGAGAGATGCCGCAGACTCTTGTTTAAATATCCAACATTATAACTGTAGTTATATATCTTACTCTGTTTAAAAACACAAGAAGAATCCTCCGTGTGAAATGTCATGAGAGACCACTTTCTACTGGTGGTCAGCTGATCATATGCTCCAGAATATTTACACATGTTGTTAGACGCTTTTATCCAAAGCGACTTACATACTCAATACTGTGGGCAATCCCCACAGGAGCAAGGGGTGAAGTGTCTCACAACGACATGCTGACTGCAGTGGGGTTTGAACCTGTGCTCCCCTGATCCGAACACCAACGCACTAGTCCACCGCGCCACACGCCTCCATCTGATGCCCCCCTTTACATTAAAAACTTTCTTCAAATGAGTTTAGGCTATAAAACATACAGTTTCACTTCACTTCTCCTCAGGTCAATACAAGACAAACAAAAAGGGCTGTTCCAATCAGTTCAACATGAATCGATACGTTGGTTTTATTTACATTGCATTTGTTGGTTTCTCTGTTTAAAATCAATATTAATAGAACCTATAGGCGTCACCTTGAACGATGGAGAATTGGGTAATTTACAGTGTTTTCTGCCAATTCAAACCAGAGGAATATTCTAAAAATAATGAATGACGAATCAACAATGAAAATAATAGTTGCAGCGCTAAAATATCCTTAATGAAAAAAATCAAAGAGCTTTTCCATGCTGAGCAGTGTTTTGTTTCTGTCTCTCTCAACCCCAAAAAATGTTCTTGTGCCTGAGTGGAGTCGGCTGGATAAATACAATCGTCCACTTTCCATGTTCAGCACGCTGACGTGTGACAGTTTGAGCAAGAGACTTGAAAGGCCCGAGTGTTTTAACATCGTGTCTCCGTAAGATCTGAGAACAATTTCAAGTAGAAGGAAAATAACCCCCTCTCATAAATCAGCCAGTGACACTTTTATACACCGCTACACTACACTGCTGTTTCTATACTTCCCTTTCACTTGGCCCCTTGATACTTACATGGTGATGCGGCCTGGCTGTTGGCGTGTTGTTTTTTTGGTTAATTGTTAATTGGATTGTTATTCATTATCCCTTATGTGTGAAAGCGGCACCTTTGTCTCGCTGCCTCGTTACCCCTCGATCTGTCTGACACCCTTTGGTCGCGTCTCGTCAGCTGAGGAACATCACAGCAGTCTGGGAGTGGATGGAGAGTGTGTGTATTTGTGTCCTATGACGATGCTGTGTGACCAATATGTCTGATATAGTACATTATGACTGATATGTTACAGTCTACTTCCCGTCACCCCTGAGTAACAGTCCTGTGTTTCTGTCTTTCAGTCGGGGTCAGAGCAGGACGAGGAGAGTACGGGCAGTATGGGATCGGCTGCTGTCGCTGTGAGTCCTTTTCCTTCCTCTTTTAAGGGTTTTCTAATAGGTTACAAATGGATAGAGAAGTTAAAGGAAAAAGCTTTAAAGATGATCATTGAAGTTTAGTCCTGGTAATCAACAATTCCCGGGGTGTCCCTACTCCTTCCTTTCTAACCAGAGGTGTGGATTTGACTCAAACTCCAGTCAAAAGTCGGATAATCGTAAACAATTTGAATGAAAAAAGGCTTGTAACTTGACTTGGAATATAATATGAATGACTTGGGACCTAACTTGGAGTTGAGTCCACATCTCCTCAAATCCACGTTGTTTAGACCAATCCAATCATCATCCTAACCTAACAAGTTGCAGAAAGAACCGATAAGAAACTAACGTTAAGTTACTGACTGCTTGTTAAAAAAAATATGCCAAAGATACATTTGTTTGTGTACAAAAACTGTGAAAAACCAGACGTATATGACTTGCTTGGGACTTTAAACTCAAAGTATACGACTTGAGACTTGTCTCTCTTGACTTGGGTTTTGAGTGCTAAGACTTGAGAGTGACAAATGACTTTCAAAACAATGACGTGGTCCCAGCTCTGCTCTAAACCACCAGCAGAAGTAAGAGTATGAACTGCTGGACTCTGTGCAGTGCATCATGGGAGTTTCCCTCTCTGTGTCAGTTGGCTGGGACTCACTCATTTGTAGGAAATGGATTATAGGCTTCAGCACGATCTATAGAGCACACAACAGGATGTGGACAGTAGTGTGTGTGTGTGTGTGTGTGTGTGTGTGTGTGTGTGTGTGTGTGTGTGTGTGTGTGTGTGTGTGTGTGTGTGTGTGTGTGTGTGTGTGTGTGTGTGTGTGTGTGTGTGTGACCTCACGCTCCTCTCTCTCTATGATAGCTGGATCCCATAGAGAAGGAGTGGATCTACTCGGCTGCAGGTGCTCGAGTCCCTGACCTCTCTCAGCTGCTCAGACAAGACCCCTCGCTGGCAAACAAGAAGGTAACGCCACGCTGGATTGCATCTTATGGTCAGCTGTCAAACATAATCCACATCCATACCACAAAGTCTGCCAGGGCAGGAAACAGGAGCAGTCAAATGATCAGAACGTTCTAAACAAACACCAAGACGTAGCCATCTTATTTGAGATAGTAAACAATTGTGAAATGATCGCAAAGAAATGGTCCCGTGTCTCTCGAGGGAGCGCTGTGACCCACATGGTGAGGTTCAGAGACATGAGGCGAATTCTCCGTGACCATGCTAGCTTGCCATATTGTTTTGTCAGAAGGTAGACAGTGGAAAACACATCAGACTGTCATCGCCAACATGTGTAAAACTCTGCTGCAAAGAGAAAAACGTGTTGAACCGTTTTAATCTGCTGTGTTTGACAACCATTTTGAATCGTTAGTTGTAATCAAGGGAGTGGACCCTTTTCAAACAGGGGAAGCAACTTGTATGTCCTTTTCTACTCAAATATATCCATTAAAATACTTACAACAATGTAAAACCACATCTACAGCCTGTCCATGATTGGACCCTACAGTCCTGACCATCGTCACAGTTCCCAAACATAATTCATGGCTCAACCTTTACCTATTATCCCTCCAATACTTACAGGTTCGCTCCTAAACAACAAGAGACCTTTTTACCGACATGTCAGGTGTGTTAACTTTAAATTGAACCTCCGAATAAACCGTTTTAGATATCCAGCTGACGCTTTTTCTATATTTTCCAAGTTAAGGCCGTATTCTACAGAAGAACCAAAAGATCATTTGACTTCTACGTCTGCCTCAAGTGCCAAACCATTCATTGTACTTTCAAATACTTCAAGAACCATCATGGTTTCATTCCCAGTGCTGAGCGCTGATTTGTCGAAAACAACTTAAGGACAGCTTAATCCATCGTATAGGAAAGTGTTGGGTGTCTCTAAAGTCAGGATCACCTTCTTTGTGATGTTTCTTGGCATGAAACACGGTTAGGGATTGCCGTCCCAACTTCTCGACAGATAGAGAATGTGACAGAGAAAGCTAGACAGTGAATAAGATAAGGCTATGCAAGGTAAGCTGGAGGAAAAAAAACGTTAAGCTTATCATTTTGCGTCGGTACACCGAGTCAAACAACGTCAAACCCTCACCGGGTCGTTGCTACTGTGTTGGAGGAGCTTTCAGTCTCCTTTCATCCTTTCATCCTTTCATTACGTCCATTCAAATAGCAGCGTCATGCAACAGCACATGGAGAACAACACGCCGCTGAGTCGTGTGTGAAAATTACATTTGTCCACAGTCGTTTTTTTAAAGTTTGTCATTGCTCTAATTTGCCTAATCTTTATGTAAACAGGCTTTTAAAGGGATGCTCTGCAGATTTCCAATCAGCCCTGTGTCCCATAGTGTCTTATGGTGATGTCACCGTGTTAACAGATCCCAACCATCTCTTTGTTGTAACAAAACTGGTCATAACAATAACCAAAACCATGCACGTAAGATCTGAGTTGTAATAAACCGTTATTTTTCTTCAATATTACCCAAATTACAACGGAAACAAACGAATACAAGGTACTATTTAAAAAAAACTCTCAAGGTGTTTCATGTGATGGATAAATGGTGTCACTAACGTTTGTTTTTTTTGTCTTTTTTTGGGTTGTCGAACCAGGACTTCACCTCTGTGAGTACTCAATACGGCTGAAGACTGCATGTAGCATGTAGCATGTAGCATGTTGTGGTTTAGATGTTGTTATTATATATATGGAGTTCGCTTTGTGTTACATTACTTTTCTCTGACTTAAAGCTTCTTATTTTCTCCCTTTGACTCGCTCTGGCTCCCGACTCCGTTACCATGACCATCCTTCTCAGGGGGTAAGTTTCAATAGTGTGCAATAACTCCAAACACCTACGGTAACCAGCTGGAAAACTAATTTAACTTGCATTAAACCTGATTATCCCTGCGTCTCCTAACTCTCCATCTGTGATTGTGTAGTCCAGAATGCGATAGTCGCTGTGTTTTTCTTGTATAACTTTCACAAGCTCATTCTGCCGGGACCTTTCCCCTTCATAGTGCTTTGAGAACCCTGTGTTAAAACATCCAGATCATGCATTTCAAAGGTCCACTATCAAAAGGATTATGAAAGATAGCTTTTTAGCTCCTGTGCCCCCCTGACAACCCAAATCCTTTTATTTGTCTCCCTGTGCGCTTAAGAGATTTGAGCTCATGTTTGTTGTCCCTCCTCTTGTGTCACAGTTCTCACACTGTCCTGCGGCCGAGGCAGACCACCTTCTAAGAGCGGCCCTAAGCTTCTGCCATCCCCACCCGGACAAGATAGCATGGCCGCCATTGAAGTGTAGGCAGATTAAGGAGAGTCTTAATGCCCCACAAAGACTTCACCCACTTAAAGATAATCTGAAAGTAATAGAGCAGGCTGGGATTAATTGTAGAACAATGCTGGTTGTGTCCCTGTGAAGGTGCTAAGTCCCCCTCAGGCGTCTTTGATGTTCCCTTTAGCCCTCAGCCTTTCCCTGTTCTGCAGAGGTAGATCCAGAGATAGCGTACCTACACTCATGAGAACCAAGGCTTCAAAACCTGGAGTTTTTACTTTTGTATCTGCATGTCCTTAGTGTGGCAGCGTGGATGGCTGCCGTGTCTCTAGCTCCTCTCCAACTTTGCATTTCTACGGTTTAATTTCAGTGTTTGTTTATATTTTGATTAAATGTGCTTTATTGTTTAACGTCTTATATATTATGTTGCGTTGTTGGAGGAGCCTGGGACTTCAGATTTGCACTGCCATAAAACACTGTAGCTACTGTTAAGAAGTTAAGCGTACCAAACACCAGCCTCTAAAAAGCACATGTTTGACCAGGACTGAAGGGATTACTCTTCATCCCGGGAGGACTTAAGTGTTTCCTGTTCTGACCAAATGTTTGTTGGGATCAGGTGGTTCAAACAGCCGTTTAGAAAGGTTGCTTCAAAGTGAACACAGTACAGAACCATAATCACAATACTGCCCTTTTCACCTAAAGAACATCGCCCTCCCTCTCCTTCACCGCCCCTGAAACTCTCATCCATGCCTTCATTACATCCAGATGTAGTTACTGCAGCAGCATTCTTTATGGTTCACCTGCAAGCATCCTCCAAAAGCGACAATACGTCCTTAACTCTGTCTGCACGCTCACTTCCACCCGACCTGACCACATCCCCCTTAGCCAATCAAACACCAGATTGACTTCGAGATATAGAGAGGCGAAGTCCCTCCCCTTCCGGTGGACCTCCATGGGACCTTATTTCGGAAAAAGTATGTATTGAAGTCGATGGAGAGAAAGATTATCTTTCGATCCCGTTTGAATTGTGCCATGAATTACACATATGATGTTTGTCAATTTAAAAGATAATTTTGCAAGTCAAAAAAATAAAAGTGTCGTAAAACTGTGAAGTAACACTTTGTTTTGTGTGAAACCGCTCAATGAACTACATCTCCCCGTCTCGCACCACACTCCAAGACGGCCGTCACGTTGGAACATTTCACTTCTTTCTTTCAGAATGAGGCGGAAAGTATTAAAAGAGGTGAAAATCACTCCACGTCTGGGCACGTTGAGAGCTGAATACACACAAGGGGAGTTAGTCGTTCCGTGAGAGCCAGCATGCGGGACCGGGATTCTGGGATTTGTAGTCTTTCTAGTTGCGTATTTTTCATAGTCTTATATTTCAACAGTTTTACGACAAATTGTGACTTTTTTGAAACGGAAATGATTTTTTAAGATTGACAAACATCATATGTGTCTTTCTCTCCATTGACTTCAATACATACTTTTTTCGAAATAAGGTCCCATGGAGGTCCACCGGAAGGGGAGGGACTTCGCCTCTCTATATCTCACCACCTACAAAGCCTTCAACAAGTCCATCACATTCAAAGTGCCAACAAAGTTTCCATCAATCAATCAAAGTTCATTTATACAGCCCATTATCACACATTTGACATTTGTCTCTGGGGGCTTTAGAGTTTGTACAGAATAGGAGACCCTCGGTCCTTAGACCCTCACATCGGACAAGGAAAAGCCTCCAAAGGAACCCCTCAGTAAATGGGAAAAAATGGAAGAAACCCGAACAGACGTGTAGTAGATGTCGTGTCTAAATGAAAAAGATAATACATTAACAACATAGTCACTCTCACAAGCTTCAAAAAAGCCCTTAAAACTCACCACTCGTGCTTTCAACCTAAAGTCCTCGAGCCCACCCCCCTTTTTGACTTAGCTCAGGACTGCTTGATTTGTTCTTGTATTAAAGAGTCTTCAAGCTGTGGGAAAAGCGCTCAATAAATATGATGTATTATTATTAGAACACCCACATCTCACCTAAGTTAAAAACCTCTTACTCCAATTCAATTCAAAGTAGCTTTATTGGCATGACCGTATCAACAAGTTACTACAACAACAAAAAAACACTATCTCTCTCTAACTCTTTCTCTCTATTTCCTTTTCTCCTCGTGACGTGGACCCCGTTTCCCGCTGGGACCGACTTCCTCTGCCACAGTTTGTAAGTCCATCATTCTCCCATCACTCCTCTCTGCCTTCCTCCACATCAAGTGTCACAGGTCATTGTTGAAGTGAGCGTCTCTCTGGCCACCACTTCCCTCGGTGGGGACTGGTGGGACGTCCTGAGTGATTGGACAGGTGGAGGCACCCCCGCGGGCAGGAAGAGGAACGAGCCGCGCAGGAAGGGAAGACGCTGCATCCTGTCCGTCCTCGTCCATCACCCCCGCCCACCGGGAGACCCGCCGAGCCGCCTGTCAAACGGCCCTTAGGTCAATCTGTCTTAACGTGTGACAGGGGACAGACAAAAGAGATGGAGATACTCCAGCCAGACAGCATCCATCACAATCTGTCTCTCAGACGCCTGACACGCAGAGCTGGAGCTACCCATCGCTCCCTTCAGGGGACACAAGCAGACATGTTCCTCTGGCCAGCTGTTGCACAGGCTTGTTGTGCAACGATTAGCACAATTAGCGTCGTAGCCTCTAAACACAAAAGGACCTGTGTGCTGTGTTGTGCCTGAGCATCGTTGCATTCGAGTCACAGCCTAACATCTGTTTCTGTGCTAAATAAACGTTTAACAACACTTACAGCTGGGGTGAGGGCACTTGCAGACTCCTTAAAGACGTTTTTAACCTTCGGGTTGAAAAAAGTATTCCTTCTGTCCCCAAAGAAACCCCCAACATGCTTCTGGTTAATACTAAAACAAAGACATTGGGTCATTTCAAAGTGCTTTTTAGTTTGAATATTAGGGGAACGTTGCATTATCGTTCGACACATATGGTTTAAGAGCCTTTGAGGATTTTGGACACACTTGTAGAAGTTTGTTCAATGACTTTCTGCGTGTTTCAAAGATCGCCAGTGCAGATGTTTTGAGTGAATGAGATGTAATGCTAACTAACACAGGCAAAAACTAAGGCTATCCATACATTCTGAGTCAGCAAACACTCTCCAAATCAAACTATGCTATGCTATGCTATGCTATGCTATGCTATGCTATAAAAGCCTGGACTGTTTTTAACACATTTAGTTTGTGTGACTTTAAGACCCAGACAGAAAGATTTTTCGTAAGGATAAATTCAGAAAATGTAATGGGTAAAAAGACGTGTTTGAATTTGTCCTTATATATAATACATTTATTTAATTGTATACATTTGATGCATAATAACATTTAGATGGAATCTTAACAAAATGTGTTTTTTATCTCCTCAACTCAGAAAATAAAATAATTATAAGTTATACGGTTTGCACCCAGTCAGTGTGTAACTCAACGGTTACTGTGTGATTCCCTGTGTTAAGGGTCAGACTCAGAAACACTGGAGGCAGTAACTCAAACATCTGCAGCGACGCTGGGCTTTCACCTGCTGATAGCCCATAATTACACAGCTTAAAGGCTGTAGGAGAGGCTGCGGAGATCACAGCTCCACTCCAACAGGTGGATGTGGTTTGCGCGTGTGTTTTCAGTGTGTGTTCCTACATACATCTGTCTATTATTTCCACACACATCTTAGCGTGCGGGTGTATCTCTGAGTGTTGGGGCCCGTGTTTCCTGACGTGTGCTGACAGTAGTGCTGATGTCTGGGTGGGTCTCCGCTCTGCAGGTCACACTAACATCATCAATCTTCCCCCCGCTGACAGGCCCCCCGACCGTGGGCACAGGGCTGTGTTGTTTTGTAATTAGGCTCTGTTAGATGGCAGGAAACCATCTCTCTATCCCTCCTTCTCCCCATCCGTCCACTCCAGCTGGCCCTCTGCACTCACACGGCCAATAGGAGGCTGCGCTGCTTAGACAACTTGTAATGATGATACAGCAATTACCATGCCTGACAATACTGCAGAATATTGTAGGAGAAGTGTGTTTTTTAAATGACTCCTTTCTTCTGTCTGCACTCAGACGGCTCTGCACTGGGCCGCCAAACATGGCAACCAGGACATGGCGGCTCTGGTGGCTAACGCAGGCGCTGACGTCAACACCAAATCAGTGAGTCTAATTTGAGATTTAGTTTAAAGGGGCACTCCTGAAATGTAGTATTATTGGACATTGAAGGCTACATTTAAATTTAAATTGCAATGACTGGAGTTACCTTACTGCCGTTTAATACATTAAGGTTTTTTAGGCAGAGATGAAACAGTCAAAGATATCAAGACATTTAGTCACACCGGTCAAGCTCCGAAAAACCTAGATCCTACATTTCCCACAATGCAACTCGATATTTTTCAAATAGAGCCATTCAGTCACATACCTGCCTCTGTTCCACTGGCTTCTGCAATCTCTCATTAAGCATTTACTACAACGTGTAAGCGTGCAGAAAACTACAAATCCCATGAAGATTTACCAACACAGATACTGTTCATTTTTAACAATTTACTTTTGAAGTCATTTGTTTTGCTTTCCAAAAACTCTTGCAGCGTTCAGTCATCTCATATAGCCAATATACTTGTCTCTTATCGCCGTGTAACATACATTCATCTAGGGCTTACGGGAAATAGAGGTTTTACTTGCTTGACATATTTCAAGGCTCTTTGACTAGAACGTTTTATTATTAGTATAATTAAAATATATTTTGGATTTGCTTCCTTTTCACCCTTTATGCCGAATGTTTTTTGCACGTACTTATCTCACATTCAGACCTTAGCCCTCTCTGTGAAGCGAACTGAACTGTTTGTCACTGATTCATTCCTTCTGTCTTCTGTCTTGCAGCATGTGAGTATCCGGTTCATCAGGAGGTGGTGGTGGTCTGTACAGTGAGTCCCTCCTCCTCCTCCTCCTCCTCCTGACATCTCCCCCCTTTCCTCCTCCTCCTCCTCCTCCTCCTCCTCCTCCTCCTCCTCCTCCTCCTCCTCCTCCTCCTCCTCCTCCTCCTCCTCCTCCTCGTCTCCTCCTCCTCCTCCTCCTCCTCCTCCTGTCCCCCCCTCCTCCTCCTCCCCCTCCTCCCTCCTCTTCCTCCCTCCTCCTCCTCGTCGTCCTCCTCCTCCTCCCCCCCTCCTCCTCCTCCTCTTCCTCCTCGTCGTCGTCCCCCTCCTCGTCGTCCCCCTCCTCTTCCTCCTCTTCCTCCTCCCTCCTCCTCCCCTCCTCCTCCTCCCCCTCCTCCTCCTCCCCCCTCCTCCTCCTCCCTCCTCCCTCCTCTTCCTCCTCCCTCCTCCCCCCTCCTCCTCCTCCTCTTCCTCGTCGTCCTCCTCCTCCTCTTCCTCCTCCTCTCTTCCCCCCTCTTCCCCCTCCTCTTCCCGCCTCACAACTCCTCCCCTCCTCCTCCTCCTCCTCCCTCCTCTTCCTCCTCCTCCTCCTCGTCGTCCCATCCCTTCCTCCTCCCCCCTCCTCCTCCTCCTCTTCCTCCTCTCGTCGTCAGGTCCCCCTCCTCGTCGTCCCCCTCCTCTTCCTTCCTCCTCTTCCCTCTCCTCCTCCCCTCCTCCTCCTCCTCCTCCTCTTCCGCCGCCTCCATCCCCCCTCCTCACTCCTCCCTCCTCTTCCTCACTGCCCTCCTCTGCGTCATGCCTCCTTCCGCCCCCCCTCCGCCTCCTGCCTCTCTCCCCCCCTCCTCCTCTTCCTCCTCCTCGTCGTCCCCTCTTCCTCCTCCTCCTCCTCCGTCCTCCGCCTCCTCCTCCTCCTCCTCCTCCTCCTCCTCTTCCTCCCCCCCGTCCTCCTCTTCCTCCTGCCTCGTCGTCCTCCTCCTCCTCCTCCTTCCTCCTCCTCCTCCTCTCCGCCTTCCTCCTCCTCCTCCTCCTCCGCGCTCCTCCTCCTCCTCGTCATCGTCCCCCCTCCTCCTCCTCCTCCTCGTCATCGTCCTCCTCCTCCTCCTCCTCCTCCTCCCTCCCCCCCCTCCTCCTCCTCCCCCTCCTCCCCCCCCCCCCCCCCCCCCCCTCAGTGATGTAATGCTAAAAGCTCCAGCTGTGTAAATGTATCACAGCTCTTGTTGTGGGGAGTACTGCGTTAATAAATCATGTCACGTCACGTTAATAGTTTCCCAAAACAGTGCGTCTCCGTGCCAACATGCACAACTCTGCAATTGTCAGCGAATTACCAAGCAATTATGTTTTTATCATTATCTTATGTTTCCATAACCTTTGCTTAATTTGTATATTTGTTTCCACGCTGTTTTCATTGGCTGCCTTTCGGGCCTGGGACCTCTAGGGGGTAGGTACTAAACCCTTCCAGCACTTTGCCACAGTAACGACCCCTGAACTCACAAATACAAATGTCATTTTGAACCCCCTTTCATCACCATTACCTTAAAGAAAAGAGAGTCACTCTACAATACACATTTTGCAAGCTTGTCCATTGTTGTTGTTGTTCTGCAGGGATACACACCTTTACACATTGCAGCGTTACACGGCCATCGGCACATCCTAGACCTTCTCATCGTGACCTACGGTAAGACATTCTATTTTGACACAGCCATTAATAGCGATGTTGCACAAGCTTCAAATTGAGATGAATTAAATAATTTGAGTTACTATATGAACAATCCGTATGTCGCATATTTTAAATGAACATGATAAAACAATTAAAGCATCTTTATTCAACCCTAGTCTAAAGTGAACTCCATGATGCAACATACGTACCTCAGCGTGACAGTAGGGAGTCCCTGTGGGTCATGGGTTGTTTCTTAGAGCTTAAAGTGTCAGTAAACTAGCCTCCCTGATTCCCCTTGGTTAACAGACATCTCTTTCTCTTTCGCTCTGATCAGGGGCCAAAGAAAACTTAAGGGACTACAGCGGCCATCTTGCCGGCCATTATCTGAACATCAGAGAACCCGAGGGTCCGGAGGAAGAGTGCGAGCTGCGTGAGTCATTTTGCTACTACAATGACATGATCCAAAATAGCTTTTAATATGACTAATGGTAAACAGCTGCATTTATCAATTTCTTTTAATATGTTGTTGTATTTCTGTTTGGCCTTCCCTAGAGCATCTTGTGATTTGGTTTGAAGACACATTTTTGGGTATCCGAATATAAAACAATTGACTTTTCATGAACCGAAAACACACTGTTTAAGCGTTCATTTCTAAGGGCCTTGAATAACTTGATCGGGTTGAAAGGATTGAGAGCATAAACTTGTTAGGATCATCTTTACTGTGGTAATAAATCAAGTTTGAAGTTTCATTTTCTCTATAAAACTCACTGCTGTCTCTGAAAGAGGACGCACGCTGAAGCACTTCTGCGTTCTCCAACCTTTCAGACCTGGAGCTTGCCACTTCTCCCTAACCTTTGAAATGATCTTTCTTGTGATCTCAGAGTTTCAAGTCACTCAGGCCAGGGAACGAAACAGGAACAGGAAGTTGGCGTCGTTGTTTAACTCCAAGAAGAGGTGGGGCTCAGCGGAGGAGCTGGCTCCGATCGAGGAGGAGCGGACGGCGTCTCACCAGCTCATCCTGCCTGCCTTCAGACCCCGGAAGTTCTCACGCTGAGAGGAAGATAAACCAGGGACCCTTTCTGCTCGCTCTCCTACGCTCGCAACCACCTGATGCCTACATGCATATATCAGATATTCCGTTGTTTAATTCTACATATTCCACAAAGTCTGGAGATTACTGATGCCAAAACATCCCCCTTTTAAGTGCCATTCAAAGTCTGTTTCCGGGGCAGCAGTTACAAATCCAACTCGTAGCAACAGATCAGATCCATTTTGATGGCACAGAATACACAGTTGTTCACAAGAATGTTCTTATTCCACAGTTACACACATATTGTATATACTCGTGTGAACGTGTCTTTTGTTGTGTACACGACCAACAGTTCATAACGTTACAGACACGGTCGCTCCCACAGAAGCTTATCAGTGAAGAGGAGATGTAACCCTAACCCAGGGGATGCTTTACTTATATGTGTATTTTGAAATATGTATGCCTACCTTAAAAGTATTTCTTGAAGCCTTTACATTTGAAGGAATGTTGCTTTAATGCCTTAACATTTCAAATGAGCTCAGGCCATGTTCATCGCTTTAGCTCGTCGTTGACCTCTGATTGTGTTCAAGTGAGCAACTCTTGACAAGTTGAGCAAAAGATACTGGCCGTTTCTCAATGTGGAGTAGAGCTGCTGCAGAGTCAAGTATACGACGTCATCGAGTGGCGCCGAAGGACTGTTTAAATGCCCAGCATTCGGCGCCACTCGATGACGTCGTATACTTGACATAGTGGCTCTGCAGACGGTATACTCCACATTGAGAAACGGCCTCTGACTCACTTTCACTCTGTGAGGAATTAAAGGGAAAGGTGTCCTATATTCAAATAAACCTTTTAATCGGAGCACACCGGTGGTTTGTCTGTTTGGCTACGTTGTTATGTTCTCGACGCTATGCTGAACATCCAGAACTATCTACAAGGTGTAAGAGTGATTTTACTCAGCAGTATGGTATGGCTGAAACACTAGAAGCCATTTCTATTTATTGAACTACTTTTTCCTACAATTAATTTGCAAGGAAAGGTTCTAATAAAATATGTAAGGTCAAATCCTCCCTTACTCTCTAAAGGAAAGTCAATACCAACAGTAAGACAAATAAATAGTCCTCCCTAATCATTTAAGCACACTCCCTAATGTCAATACAACATCTGCACTGGAGCCAGATGCTTCTTGGAAGGAAGCTTTGCAGAATGTTTGGCACTAGTGTTTACATGAGTAGCAGTTAGTGGGCTTAAACAACAGAACCATCCGTGTGTTTCTTTCAGAGACCTCCCAGATGACCAGGAGGAGGACATGTTCATCCCCATGGCTAACGCTAACACAGACTGCACTTGTGATTTGTTGTCAGCTGCCTTCAGTGTGAAGCTGTGTGTTTGTCGTGAAGCAGGAAGCATGTCGCTGCTTGCCATTTGTTGTCGTCGTTCAAGAGGTTTTCTGCTGATAAGAGTGTTTTGCCCGTTGCAGTTTGAGCAGATAATCTGATTGATAATCTGATAAACTCTTTTGTCAGAGAGGTGATTGTCACAGGACTGTTCTTTATTGATGCCCCCCCCCCTCCCCCTCCTGCATTTAAAGTGCTGCATTAACTTTTGCTACGGAAATCAGTGTGTTCTGAATTCTTCTGCATTTCCACACGTTTTCATCGGTTGTAACAAACAGGTATGTGTTTATAATTTGGTGCCATCATTGTATCTAAACTGCCTCCATTACATCTTTTGCACAATATTTATATGATGAAGTTATTTTGAAATAAACTGTATTTTATATCCGGGGTTTTTATTTCAGTGCCTTTTTATATTTGTATGCATTAACTTCAATGATTAGATTGATGTGTCCTGGGCATCGAGATAATACACATAACACATTTAGGACAATCAGTCATAGATACAGATCACAGATCACATGGCAAAGAAACAGGCACAGAGCTTTCCCTATTGCACATATCCACTTGAGTTCTCTCCGTACCACTGAGTGACTGGGCTTCTTCTTCTCTCCTTAGACGAAGCAGAGAAGAAGAACAACTTGTGATAATGCCTTTTTCTTCTTTCTCTCGACACAATAACCCCGGTTTCTTAAGCTGCCTTTGATCTTACTTTACCTACCTGACTTTGCAGGCTGCAGATGGAGTAAATATGGCTGCCTCTAACTCTCCATACGGCTTTAGACCTTAATTCCTGATTAGCTGAAAAGGGCAGCACTTGCTTCTGGGTCTTGGATATCAGACGACACAGAGGCAAGTGTTTTTGTGCTTCATTTTTGAAGCGAGGATGTTTGGGGGATAAGAGGGAGTTTCTGTAATAGATACTTATCTTACTGCCCTCAAGCCCCTCAAACAAAGTCCCCCTCTGAAGAGATTATAACCCAGGGAGGGCACATTAACTCTAATCCCATGCTTTGAGGCCTCGCACCCCCATACCACCCTCTGCCCCACTTATTCCAACCCTTCTGTTGTTGGGGGGCTACCTTGTATCTGGTGCATGTATGAGTAGGGCCTGTGGCTACACACGAGGGCTGTGTGTGTGTGTGTGTGCGAGTCAGGGGGGTGGAGTGACTGCTTCAATAGCACGCTGACTCTAATGAAAAGCATTGAGGGGTGCATACTGCTGTGTAACTGATTCCTCTCTCTGAAGAGATTAGGCGCTACATTGTTGGTTCAGTTGCTCATTTCCATGAGAGCACAGCCTCCCACCAGCGGCTGCTCGCCTTTGTTATTTTGAGTTGGAAAACACAGAGCCCAATGTCCCGGGCTTCCTTGTTACCATTGTTTCACAAATAGGCCAAAATGTAGATGTCACGTCACAGATGCCCAATAACCTCATTAGCTGCTCTCTGTGAGGCTTTAGAGGCCAAATAATGGATGCATGAACTTCAGTTTGTTCAACTGTATGCAGATTCTGCGTCAAATTCAAATAACAATACGACTCATAAATCCATTTGTTGGAAATGAAACCGTGTCTAGCGATTCTAGAGAGTTCATAGATGTACTGTAAAGGCATGGGAAACTCTCAACTGAGTTTAACACTATAAGAAATAGGATAAAAAGGCAACACATTACTTTAAGTTCCTCCATTTCTGACTTCCTAACCAGCATACATACACTTGTAAAAACAAACCAGAATTAAGTTGTATTCTGATAAAAGTGTTTATAATGCATTTGACGACAACGACAACTCGTCCTGTGCGCATCCAAAAGTCAAGGCTGGCGTTAAAACAGATATAAATGACAATATAACTAAGTTGTAATAATGTAAAAGTCTTCACGCCCTCCGTCACAGACTTCCTGTTTCAATAAATGAATGGAAAAGAAATAAAACGGTCGTTCTTGAAGGGCTCTCGCTCACTGAAACTAATGCACTTAAATAGTACCTGCATGTTTCTTGTTGTTCTTTGTAGCGTTTTGGTTTATTGCACTTATTGGAAGTGACTTTGAGTATAAGCTAAATTCATTTGAAAGTAATACAAAACTATGTTTGTTATAATTGTTTTTCTGACATGTCATTTGTTAGACGCTTTTATCCAAAGCGACTAACAAACATTCAGTACTGTGGACAATCCCCACAGGAGCAATTTGGGGTGAAGTGTCTCAGGGACACAACGACATGCAGTGGGACTCGAACTTGCTATCCCCTGATTCGAAGTCTAGCACACTATCCACTGAGCCACAGCATCCCCATCTGTAATAGATACTTATCTTACTGCCGTGTGCTATGGATTATACATGAATTGTCTCAATACTACAACTGCAGACTCATAAAGTGCTAATGGTGGAGAAGTTAGTTATTATGTCTTCAACAAACGAGGCCCATGCAGGAAAAACATTCATCTTAAAAGGAGGAGGTGATTATTGCTAAACTATTACCTATGAGTACTATAAGAACTTTTCATCTCACTTTGTAACACGAGGAAACTTTTTTTAAACAGCTTGCAACTCAGAGGAGAAAGGGCAAGTGGCACGATAACGATGTTAGCGATTTAGAAAGCGAGTGAGTATCTCAGTGTGACGCCCTCTATGTGCGGGGACCCTCACAGCAATAATAATAATACATGTATTTCCTAAGTGCTTTTACAGGTGCTCAAAGTCGCTTTACAGAGGTAGTGAAAAAGGACAACAATTCAATATAGTAAAAGTCACATTGAAATCGAGCAATAAAACAACAATCACAGTTTGAAGAGGTGAGTGTACGGTGTTTGAAGGTGGTGAGGTCAGTCTCTGATGGGCTGTGGGAGTGAGTTAAACTTACTTTTATATAGCGCCTTTCAGGGGGCCCAAGGTCGCTTTACAGACAAACAGTCAGACAAACAAAACAACAAATACACTAGGGCCGAAGGCAGGAGGGGAAGTGGCGAGATAACGCTTTACAGAAGAACACGAGTAAAACAAAACAACAGTCAGACAAACAACAAATACACGAGGGGCCGAAGGCAGATGTGTAAGACAGGGTGCAGGGAGCTAACAAGCTGATCTGCAACAACGAGCCCACTGGGGGGGACCGAGCCCCAGCTAACTGAGGGATCCTGGGGGCCTCGCACCCACCCTTCGCGGCCCAACACAGGGAGACACCCAGCAGCTGTCACACAGGCCATCAGGGCCCTCACCAACGCCACCTGTCAATCACCCAGCGGAGGGCCGTCAATCAAGCTGCGCCCAGGAGGGAGCTGGGGGGCGGGACCCGCTCCGGCCCTAAACAAAGACATACTTACATTTGCAAGCGGTTTGAGCGCCACTACCGTTTTGAGAGAATGATAGAGTGGTCCTGATAAGAGTAATGACAAAGGACAAAGAGGGGAAGGGGGTCTGGGGGAGAGGGGGTCAGATAGTGAGGAGGTGGGAGAGCTTGATAACATTCACACTCTGATACATCTCTCCATTTGTGCCCCAGGAAATCTCATTAGGGGCTTCTGCTGGGATTCACTGGTCATCTCCTCACTAACGCTTCAACGCTAGCTTAACATGATCTGTGTGGGATTTTGATTTGTGGCACTATTTTATTAGTATTTCTATTTGTATTCCACTGTAGAGTACTTCATTTTAAATGTAGCTGTAATGAATTGTAATAGTTGTGCAAATGTGCTGGTATTTATATTTGATATATCTGTACTATGATCTCTTTTCTAATTGTTAGTGGACTATTTATTGTTTAATTTGCGTCTGTTGATTGTTATGTATGCACCTGACTGGACTGCACATTTTAAAGCTCAAATCTGGCATGAACCATCTCTTCTTCTTTGAGATACATATATGTTCATGCATCGTCCTTGTTCAATAAAGACATATCATATTTGTACTATTGCACCTTTTTACATTTGGTGTTTGAGAAGCCTGGAACTGCCACAATCACACTCCAGCTATTGTGAACATGACAATAAAGCCCTTGAGTTTAAATCCTGAAACTCTCATTTCTCTCAATACGTCTCAGCTCACTTCCTTATGAACGTTAACTCTCCCCTCCTCTGGCTCAGTTTCAATGAGCCAGAGTCAACGTTCTCCTCCTTCAGTATCTGCTGCAGTAACAAATAAATAAACTAACAAGCGATAGGTGTCGAAGACTGTGGATTCCCTCCAGGCTTTTGTAGTCCCGTTCACACCTTGCCTCCTCCTCGCCTCCTCAGTCCCTTTGTCCGCCTGCAGGTAGGGGACAGCCTGTAATTGAGGTCACACCTAAGCCTTTTGTCCCGACCTGTTCATTAGCCCGTTGCGTCGTCGTTCTGCATTTTTCTCAAACTAGGGTCTTGCTTCCCTAAGCTGTCTGTGTTGTGAGTTCAAAAGTGGAATATGCAGAGGATCTGTAGATAAAGGAATGTTCACAGGACTATTCCAATACAGAGGAATGGCCCGGGCGTTATCACAGAGAGAGATACCTCCATCCTCTCTGCTATCTCTGTGAGCACCGAGGACAATCGTCTTCCATTTGGTCCCTTCTCCTGTAAACGACATCCTAACGGCAAACAGCCCAAACTGGACCTGTGGGAGCAGGACCCACACCTGCATTGTGGCCGAGCGGCCCGAAGAGGAAGAGATTGAAAAGGAGCCCTAGAAGAAGGACAAAGGCCGCTTGCCCTGAGCTGTTTGTGTTGTGAGATGTTACAACTGATGCCATAAGCCTCCTTCTCTTTGCACTCCATTGTTGCTCTTGTTCAAATTTGCTTTAGGTTCTTCGGACCCCACCCAAATAAATTCCTCCTCTCCCTCCCACCTTTAGCACTTTTTTATCTGAGGATGCTCCAGTTTCAACATTACCAGCTACTTCAATATTTGTATATATGTTCAATTTAAAAACAAATATTACCATATGTTTTTATACTAGTATACAATTATGTTATTTGTTTTACTTATTATTAATACCTTGTGCCTGCCTCTTTTTTGGGCAGGCACACTCTTAAACTGCACTGAGCTGTGAACCCTAATTTCATTTGAACTCATGCTTTGTACTGGTGGGTGTCTAGTGCACTCATCCTTGGCTGAGATTGATATTGAAAGTGGATGAGATTGTTGATGATATTGGTGATGTTGTTAATGATGACAGGAATTATGTCTTGAATGTTGTTGTTTTATTGTTGTATTGTTTTAAGTGTCGGACCCCAGGAGCAAAAGCTAATGGGATCCTAAATAAACATAAAACACTGCACTGTACCGATGGTGGAGCAGCTCAAACTATTATTCTCATTTTTAATTATCCTGTCCCTATTTTTATTTGTTATGATTAAATGTTTGTCTACAGATATTTGTATACATATATTTATTTGATTTATATTATTATTGTATTATTATTATTTAATTAATTGAACTATTATTTATTCTTATATTACTACTACTACTATTATTATTATTATTATTATTATTATTATAATTTAATGCATTAAAAAAATCTGGCCATTGTCGAAGCTTGAACCTTCTAATGTGTATATGTGTTTTACTATCAACTTTAAAATATATATGTTAAAAACTTGCATATTATATTTCTGCTGATCGCCTAACGAAATAACGCCTTATCATTTCTAGTCTGCAGCCTTTCCTCCAGAGTCACCTGAGTCTCTGATGTTGCATTTAAGTACATGACAGAATTCACACCGGTAGAAATCACATTGTGTGACGTTACATGGCTCTAATTGATGGCCGCTAAGATTTCAAATAAACAAATCACTTCAAGTCGATAATACCTGCTGCGAAAAGCCCCAACATACATCAGATATGGAGGAGACTGTTCTCCCCTTTTTATATCTGCAAGCTTATTTGTTCATTACAATTTAAAGTCATTGTGAAAAATGCTGGTGTAACACATATAAAGTCAGACTCATGCACATGCTCAGATTTATAATTGATAAGTGTTGTGCAAAATGTGAGGCCTAAATATTACAAATATAAATAGATTTGTAAGAATGCAATTTACTCATACATAATAATAATATGAATACATGTCATTTATGTAGCGCTTTCCTGGAGCTCAAAGCGTGTGTTACGGTCGACAGTGAGGGCCGATACATTTCTTAAAATGAGTTATGTGAGACGAGTTATGAAAAGCATGCGTAACGATTCTGTTTAGCTTTAAAATATAATAGAAATAAAGCAACTTATTGAGGCTAATCAAAAATAGTTATAGTAAATAAGAACTGTAAAAATAAGCGAGTTACAGCCCACTGCATTTAAAGAATATGATTGGGGACATCTACACTTTTAGGCATCCAAAGAAGCTAAACTGCAACATAAGGACCATGTATTAAAACACAAAGATTTCAAATGGAATATGTGTAAAGTATGTTTAGGTATCACTGCTGCATGTTTAGATGCTTCTCTGTTGTCACTTAAAAGCCCCCCCCCCCAGCTCTACACCTCCTGAAACTGTTAATATAATAATCACAATTATGCAAGATAAGAGAGGTGAGTCCCTTGAACCCAAACACTGAGCTGAGAGGCTCGTTGAAGGGGGAGGGGGGGGGGGGGAATAAGAAGTGTAATCTTCTCCTCTTATCTCTCTCTCTCACACACACACACACACACACACACACACACACACACACACACACAACACACACACACACACACACACACACACACACACACCACACACACACACACACACACACACACACACACACACACACACACACACACACACACACACACACACACACACACACACACACACACACACACACACACACACCACACACACACACGCACACACACACACACACACACAGTTATCTCACAATTATCATATACATTAGTCAACACCTGTTTCACTTAACCTGCTTTAATTAGGGCCATTGAAACGATGCGCTGCACTCAAAACAAAACCATCCGACATGTAAAGGGAAGCTTGTTATGGTTCACTCAATGACATTTACAAATAAAAAGGTATGGCTGCAAGCGTGATGGTAGATGTTATGGTTGCATTAATCGTGTTAACTATTCAGTGGAATAACTTTGAGAAGTTTCGGAGACTGCCACAAACTTGCTTGGCGACACTTTTACGCAAATGTGCGTAAAAGGTATTTTTCTGGCGTTTATTCGCGTATACTTCATAGTTATTGAGATGGTTCATTTGATTCACAATAACTACAGATCTGTAGGTGATGAAGTGTGAGAGGCAGCAGACTGGCGGGATGTTGTTAACTGAGTTCAGGTGATTTTCTTAGCTCTGTAAATTGGTGCTAGACATGCCAAAGTGTTAAATTCGTCATTTAAACGACATCAAACATGGTGTGAGTGGTGTGTTGCGACAACTAAATCAAAATGTAATCAACAGAATACAAAGGATGCTAATATATGAAAACATCATGTCCCCATAAGATTGGCTTAGTGTTTAAACTTTTAGTTATCGGTGGGCTGGGAAATGACATTTTATTTTTATTTTGTGCTGTTTGAAAATAACGAGGAAAACCTAAAGACCTTTTCTATAACAAAATATATAAGATGTTTAATATGTTTTTACGTGAAGTTAGTTGTTAGTTTTCCTTCTTTATTCCTTAGTAAAGCATTTGAATTGAAACTTCTTCTAAAAAAGTCTCTGTGGCGCGATAAGTAGCACATGTTTAGCCTCTCCGCGAAAACGCTAAAAGGAACAGCGGAGGGCTTCTTTGATGGGATTTGTTGCCAGTGAAAGCTGTGGGTCTTTTGAACGGAGCTGTCAGTCACTACCAGTGGGACCTCCCCCCTTCCTCCCCCCTCCTCCCCCCTGCAAACACACGCTGGCAGCTGGCTTGATATAAATAGATCCAGGAGGCTAGTTGCCACTCAAACTCAAATAGCAGGGACGCAGGAAAGATGCCCGCATCGCAAAGTGGAATTGGCAGCTTTTTCTTGGAGAGGAACATCAGCATGCCGACTGGATATCAGATCCTGGGTCTGCAGCAGCAGCAGCAGCAGCAGCAGCAGGCTCAGCACCTGGCCGCCATGGCAGCTGGGATTCCTCTAACTTACTCAGGACTACAGGGATACAACTTCATCCCCTACGCGCACCACAGGCACATCACACACATGGTGAGTTGAGAAAGCATTCAAAAATATATAAAGTAGAGTCATAACAACTTAGTTTTAACAATCTGATTTGGAGAAGCTGAACCAGCATTTTTCCGAAAAAGCTTCTTCAAGATTCTATTGTTGTGAAATATTAGAATTTAAACACTTTTTTTTTTCTCCGCATGATCATGCATTCCCTATATTATGGTTTCAAACGTCACTCATTAAAGTCAATAGACGCCACATCCGTGCGTAATTACGCATCAAGACTCCTTTCCTCGTCCTTACGTTCCTTCTCTCTGTTTTCCAGAACAACGGGTTCGACTTGAAGGCCGCTTCTCCATACCACCCCGCTCTCCTGGCTCGTGGGGGGGCTTTCTACACTCCGTACCGCCCCGGAGCAGCCGATGATCCCGGTAGAGTCGCCAAAGTGGCCACAAGAGAGAGCACCGGGGCGCTGAAGGCCTGGCTGAACGAGCACTTGAAAAACCCGTACCCCACTAAAGGCGAGAAGATCATGCTAGCCATCATCACCAAGATGAGCCTCACGCAGGTCTCCACCTGGTTCGCGAACGCACGGCGACGCCTGAAGAAGGAGAACCGGGTGAGCTGGGCGTGTAATAAGGGGAAATCAGACGAGGAGGAGGAGGAGGATGATGAGCTGGAGGGAGAGAGCGACGATGCGGATAGTTCAATGCAGAACCTGGAGGAGGAAGAGGCTCAGATCGACCCTGCAGACACCGAGGAGAAGCAGTTGGAGAGCCCGGCCTCTGTGGACGCGCGTCTGGAGCCAAGCAGCGAGCAGGAAGACAGGAGAGAACTTGCACTTGTCAAGAAAGTTGAGAAAAGCGACTCTGATCACACGATATCCGCTTTGGAGAGTAAAGAAATCAGCCAGAAACCCAAAATCTGGTCTTTAGCTGAGACCGCCACCTCGGAGACTGTGAAGAAACCCCTGGACAGTTTTTACAACCCGGCAGGAAAACTGTGGGCAGAGTGGGCTTCAAGAAACGGGCTGTTTGTTCCGTCATGCTACAACACTCATGAAGTTGTCTAAGAAAGTATTTAGACACACATTAAGAGACTTTTTTCCACCTCCTATTGCACTTTAAACTTTCAAACCTCAGGGATTTGGTCGCTTATTCCTGAAGTTTGCAGTGAAATAAATCTGCTCTGAGACCAAAGATTACACATGTCATTGTAAATAAATGTAGATGTATTTTTCCACAACAAACATGTAAATTAAATGTCCTTTGTCTATTCATGAAGAAATATTTTTGCTTAAATAAAATTCAGCTTCTAGTGAAATTCTGACGTGTGTTTCTGGTGATTTTGCAATGATTGAAAAACTCACTTGCAGCTTTCATTCCTTCTTTTACATAAACAGTGATGATCAAATATGAAACTACATTTTTTTACATGTAATTTGTGTTAATGGTTTCGCACAGAAGGTAGACTTTTCTTTAAGATCCATTTAAATTCGCATATAAAATTTAAATAACAATGATTGGGATTATTTATGTAAATCGGAAAGAGTTGTTTCCTTAATATGCACATCAAACCAAAGCATTTTAATCTTCTCGAATAGGTTTGAGTCCCAGCCATTACACTTTGAACCTCACATTTTCAGACCTCACATTTTATTTAAATGATCGTGTTACCCTGATGTATTTATTTCAGCCATTTTATTCAGTTATTCTACAATTGATTTTAGATTAGGCAGCCGCAGGTTCACAGGTCTTTTAAAGTCTTTGTAAAGTTTTGGCAGAGGCATTCTTCTTCACTATCAATCGCACATGTGGGTTTCATGTAAATTCAAAGGGCTGTACCTCCAATAATCCGGGGATAATGAGAAAGCCCCTGGGAGCGCTGCTGCACCTCTCCATGCAAATCCCTACAAACAGGAACACACAGAGGACAGATTAGCTCTCATTTGAGCCTCTTCTCTCCCAGGAAACAGATGAATAATAGAATATCATGTAATGAAAGCTCAACATGTTAAGAGTTAGGCCTAATGATGAAACGTTTCCCTTTACATTTGATATTAACAGTTTTAGCCTGATTAATGACCCCTTTTCTACTCGTTATATTTACATCTTCAGTTAAAATATCATTGAGGAGCAGTGGTTTAAAGTAACTAAGTGCATTTACATACTGTACCATTTTGAGGTAATTGTACAGCACTTGAGTATTTCCATGTTATGCTATGTACTTTTACTCCACTGAAATTCAGAGGTAACATCGTGTACTTTTACTCCACTACATTTATTTAATACCTTAAATCACTTTGCAGATTTTGATTAATGATGTGAAATAGCACAAAATCAGCACTTAAATCAGACTTTAGTTCCACCTAAATCCACAAGCTACCCTGCAGTACACAAAGTCATTCAAACTAGCTGCACCTTTACCAGCTTTGAGAACACTTTAATGATCAATCATTATCAAAACATATCATATATTATTGGGGAAATGGGCCACTTTGCATAACCAGTACTTTAACTTTGAGTACTTTAGGTTTATTTTGATGCCAATAAGTTCCTACTTTACTTGAGTAACATTTTTATTGCATACTTTTAGTATTCCTACACTCTGGTATTTCTACTTTTACTTAAGTACCAGATCTGAGTACTTCTCCCACCTCTGTTGAGCAGTGGAGTAAGTAGTAACACACTTTGAGATCAACTTTAATAAAGTGAAGCTGTAGCACCACCCTGAGGACATCAGATGTAACTACAGCAGCATTTATTCAACCGCACTAGGCCTTTGTAAACTATATTTCCAAAGTGTTATAATTAAGTCAAACGAGGACACACATATAAAGTAAACACATGTTAAGTTTCAGCGTGACTTACAGTTTCCGAGGATGTCATTTTTCCCAAGTCCATCACAAAATCCGGTTAGAAATCATGGACGCTGAATAAACTCAAAAATCGGTACATTTGAAAGTTGAATACTGTATCAAAGGAATCCGGTAATAGTTGACCGTAAATAAATGAATTCGGTGCTTACAGCAACAGCTTGCAGATGACTCGGCATACTTTTAATGTAGCATTATTTTGAACTTCACACACATTTAGGCAAAAAGGATTGGGCTCAAGGTGTCGCACATAGCATTAGCATAGGCTACAGGCTATATCACCACAAGGCATTATGGGATTTCTTTTAAGACCCCATTCATAAGACAGACCAGACACACTTAACTGTACAAAACGTGAAACTCTGATTGTGTCAAACATTTTTAATGCAAGTAAAACGCTTAAAAGAACATGCCGATTCAATGCACAATTATTATCATAATGAGTTGTGCAAAAAAAAGATGTGAATTTGCAAATAAGCGGATGACATCACAATATAAAGACAGAGAAATGACCACAAAACACTTGGCTAAAAATGGCTACTTTGTTAATTAAAATACTGTAGTGTGCCACACTTTTAGTATTTTGACACTAAAATGTAATCATTACAAGTTATTTCTAACACTAAAGGCAACTATATACATATTAAGAAGAGGAGTGAATTATGTACAAATGGGGAAACAATGCTCAACAATCCTAACTTCAAATAATCAACTACTATCTGAGTTCAGCAGCGGTGGATCGCCTGTCAGTGTGTGTGGTTGAGATTCCTGTCGGGAGAGTTTTGACGAGATCCCAATGTCTTGAGTCACAACGTTTCCATTATCAGAGAAAAGGCCATCTGATGCATTCTCGTAGCTCGGATGATCCTCGTTTTCCTCGGGTACTCCGGCGCCCTCCTCCTGCGGGTGGGACAGCAGCTCTTCTTCTGCAGTCGGCTGTGTCATGTCAACTGTGGTCTCTCTCAGCAGCTCCCTATTTTCTCCCCAACACGATTGAAAACAGCCCTACAAGAGTAAAATGTTGTTTAATAAAGGATATTACACATCAACAGTTTGTATATCTCAGTGTGTATAAATCCTCCCTAATAATCAGATTACTCCAATTTCAAAAGAATAGAAAACCTGTTTTACTTGTGCAGGTTAATTGATTAGAAAGTAGCTGTACATTTCCAGCTAGATCTGTTCTGCAGTACCCTGTGTACCCTAAATTAAAATAATAGTTTGACTACTTTGGACTGATTAGCTTTCCTTTTGAGAGCTGTATTAGAGGAATAATACCACTCTCATGTCTGTATGCAAAATATGAAGCTAGTACAGGGTATATATATGCAGAGATGTTTTTAAATGTTTTTAAAGCTCGGTTGGATGCTACTCAATCGGAAGCTATTGGTACCTGTTTATGTGGATAATTATGTAAATGATGCTGTATGATGTCCTTTTGTTGTTCTATTTATGTTTTTATGTTTCATGTGGAACTATTTGAGCAGGTCTCCCTTGAAAAAGAGATCAATGATCTCAATGGGATTTATCTGTATAAATCAAGGTTTGAAATTAAATGAAAGAGATCCTGAAGTCAGATAAGACCTTTTTTAAGACCCTTCCCATACATTTTAAGACCTCATCGCCACTTGGAGTTTTAACCGGTTACCTTGGCGACACACTTTACCTCACATTAACTATATACAGTATTGATTGTCCTTCCTCCTTATCTTCCAACCATTTGGACGCAGACTTGCATTTCCCCATAACGATGTTGTTTAGCAACCGGCGTAAACGGACCTTCGCTCGCTATCAAGCAGTGAGCGTGCGATGTCCTGTTCAGATGACGTCAAACCCAACGGGATGCCATAAATAAACTACACAGAATCACACTACACACCTACGCAATGATTACATTCAGGCAGACTGTAGAACACAACCTCTTTGGACCATTCATATACTTATTGAAAACAAAATGTAATACCTTGGAAAATGCCGTTTAATACTTTTAATAGCCTTCATTTTCGCTAAATTGATTTATCAACTTGTAATACTTTTTAAGACCCCGCGGACCCCCTGTAGATGTAAAACAGATAGCCTGGCTCTGTCAAAAGTTAAAAAGAGCCCAACTTGCATTTCCTTTTTTCAGATTAAACAAAGTTACCATCGCATGTTAATGAGTGAGGTTCATGTTCACCGTGTTTTATGTCTTTATGTTAGTTTGTTTGTTTAAAGGACAGTGCACATTGCTGTAAACGTGCCAGTGTTAGCCAGCAGGCTAATTTTCAACTGTTGTCCAAGATGTTATAATAACCATAACAAAGCTAAACTAAACTATTGTTAAGCTAAACTATGTGAGGAGCTTCATATTTAGCATACAGATATTAAAGTGGTATTAAGCTTCCAATTCAATCATCTTCAAGAAGGCACACTGGCATACTGGAAGAGAGACTTTCTCAAATGGAGCTAATCAAAAGACAATAAAGTGCGGAAGTGACATGATATACAAAAAAAAAAAAGACACATTTTGGGGAACAATGACAACACTGAACGGTCAATTGTCTTTTTGAGAGAGCGATAAGAATATTTCTGGTTTCTTCGGTAACAAGTAAGATAGAATTCACATTTACCTTTACCTTTCCTCTTGCATCATCTCGTTGACCTAACAGAAGGGAGACAAAACGAGAGGTGAGCACCTTCAGTGCCTTACAGAGAACTCCTTAAACAACAGAAGTGCCTTACGTACCTTTATAAGCTATACAAAGCACAACTCCAAGTGCAGCAAGAAGCACTAAAAGAACAATAACACCGATCAAAATGTGATGATTCCGATTTGCCCCTGCAATACAAAACAAGAGAACCATTAACCAGATATCAGGCCTTTCACACACAATTCACAATTTATCATTGCATATAATACTGGATAATTCGTTTATGAAGACAAATAGTCTTTTATACAGTAAATAAATCTCCTCCACAACAGGAAATGGGTTACCTTCATGTATATCACATATTTGCATTTCATCAGAGGAAGCCCACATGCATGTTCAGGAAGTCAATACATACTTTTTAAATTCTATAACAATGAAATTACAGTGGCGTCTTTACACCAAAGTAGTGTAACCATGGTGTAGGTGAAGTGTGTTAATCTCACACTTAAAACCACAGACGAACACAGGTTTATGAGAGCTAACATCTCGTCGCCTACACGGTGTCGTTTTGAGCGAGTCACCGCTAACCACACAGCTGCAGATGGTAAGAGAGCTGAAGGTGAGAAACATTACAATTCACCAGCCTACTCAAAAACTCACCACAGATATTGTCAGATACGTCTGTTCCACTTTGTTGAATATGGTCTCCACTCTCACATCTGTAAAGAAGGTCACAATGTTAAAGGATCATTCCTGGCTTCTCATTGTGACTGAAAGATTCAGGTGATTATTTGCCCAAATGTACCCTTTTTCACTTCTATATTTCACAAGCATACTGAAAGCTTCAGTGAATTGGGAACTCCTATCGTGAGAGCAACTTATAACAGGTGCTAGCAGCATCTTCAGCACATTTCAATACATAATGACCCCAGTTTACAAATGTGTTTAATATTCTTCATCACGGAAATCCCCCACAAAACCACGATATCTTCTCAGAAGTGTTCAAATGTAGTATGTAAACAACATTGAGTGTCTACTTGCAGGATATTTTGAGAAATGTGTGTTCTTACAAAGAGTTACAGAGAGAAAAGCCACTCTCACATTATGGCCTGTAAATGTATGGCTAGCTGCAGGTTAGCTTAGCTTAGCATTAAAACTGATGGAAATATGGGGAAACAGCTATCTTGTTTCTCTCTGAAAGTAACAAAGTCCACTTATCCCCATTTTTAAACAAATTACTTACTATATTATTATATGTGATTTGTTGAAACAATAATGACACAGATTTACATCCTGGTCTATTTTATGGCCTGCTACTTTCTGTAGATTCACATTTAACAGACATATTTAGAGAGATATAACTTCTTTAATTAACAAGTGTACTTTCCAATATATATATACTACTATATACTATATTCAGATTAAATATTAATTTGAAGAAGCCAATAAAAAAATAACTTCCTTGTTAATGTTTATCTCTGAATCAGCCTGTAAGAAAATGTGCTCTAACAAAGGCTTGTTTGTCTAACCCAGGGGTCGGCAACCTTTTTGATATGAAGTGCCATTTTTTTATCAGCGTGCCGACGATCGGGGGGAGGAGTTCGACGCTTGTGAACTGTCAACAGGAGGGCGGGGGGAGCCTCGCTGCGGGGGAACAGTGTGTGGACCTGCCAGCGCAACTAACATGATGCCGAATTTAACAAACAAATTTAAATAATTGGTTTAAACGGCATAATAATAAGGACGATCGTCCGTTCTGTGATTCTCCAGAACACACAGGTGGCCAGTCCGCCCCTTTGTAGCATATTATTTCGATGAGACATGAGCAGACCGCCACTGTTCTTTCAACTAACGAAACAACCACGCAAAAACTGCGGCATTTGTACAGCTCCTTATGGGTACTGCAATTTGTGAAGTGCTTTCCTCCGTGGTGAAACGATCAGCACCACGGAGGAAAGCGGCAGAAAGTCACCTGGAGATAAAGAGAGCGGGGCTTCCTTCTGCAGGTAACGGGGAGATGCGCTCTGGCGGCGGTCTCGTTCAGGATCCGAAAATAACATGTAAATATTTTGTCCACTTATTCCTAGTGTGCCACTGGTTACGGTGCCGCGTGCCAATGGTGGTACGCGTGCCAGGGGTTGCCGACCCCTGGTCTAACCACACAAAGCCAAATATGAGGTTTAAGCTGGGAGATTTCTTTGTGGAATTGGAGTTAATTTACTTACTCTGTCCATTGCTTACAGGGACCATCCCAAGAGCTGTCATTGGAGAATGTGCTTTCTGGGCATTTCTGACAAACTGTGTCCTGCGTATGGTTGCCTGAAAGCAGAAAGTGATACATTTAGTACATAACAAAAACAGTGCTGATCTTTCTATATATCCAGTACAAATGAATATGGTGCATCATACCTCTGAATAGAGCCCCATCTCCAGGTGTACAGGTGGTGTGTGGCACACAGGTGATGCACTGAGCACTGGAGCAGTGAAACCCCTCCTGACACAGGCAGGTGCTGCGCTCCTTCTTGCTCTTATGGACAATAACCTGGAAGTTTATATCTGAAAGAGAAATGAAGACACGTTATAAATTGTGCTGCATCAAACTAAAGTATATCAGTATGTATAGTCACTGTTTTTTGAATATTTCGGACAGGGTCTTACTTGGGTCACAATAGCGCTGACGGTCACACTTGGTATTATTTGTGTATTTATCCTGATATTCATTGTCCCGACATTCTTTACATCCAGGATCTTGACAAAGGCTGGAGGAAGACATTCTGGTCCCTGAAACACAGAGTGGCGCTTCTTAGTGAAACATGCAGAACTGTGCAGTATTATAGTACGTGTCTCAGGTGCATGTGGTTAATGTGGAACTGTGGCTCAAAGGAAAGGTTATGTGGGAGGAAATAAGCTCTAGTTGAATAAGATGAAAGTGTGAATCCACCCCTATTACTGTCTATTAAATGCAACCCATGACAATTTTGTCAAGGAACTGATAAAACCTAATGACAAAATCCCCTTTACAACTTCCTAAAGACCAATCTTAGTTATTGTTTTATCAAAAGTTTAAAACCCAGATATATTCACAATTTCCCCAATGATTTAAACACGTGAAAATAAGCACATCATCTAATTTGAGAAGCTGGAGCCAGATAATGTATTTTTTTTGTTTTTACCATTCCTGCATTTAAAAAATAAAATAAAATAGTCAACTTATTGTCTCAGCTCTACATGGAAGTTTTACTGATATGAGTATTGCATCGACCTTCTCCTCAAGTCTTTGCAATGACATAAAATGTTATTTATATAGCACTGAATAAATACAGAAATGATCTCTTGAGCCAACCCAACAACCACTTGGGAACAATGGTTGAGATGAGAGAGAAAAAGAAAGAGGTAGAGAAGACTGAAGAAGAGAGTTTAACTTTTCCTTTAACATTTCTGAGGGGAGTGAAAGAAAAAGAACCCAAGGATAAGAAGGAAGCTAAGTGAAAGCAAACATAAATGTTGTTTTTTATCAGTTTTGAACAAGCTGCTATCTCTGGGGCAGAGAAGTGAATCTAAAAAGCTTCAGTGAAATTTATGGCAGAAATAACCTCAGCCTCCTTTATCGTACCATGTGCTACTTTTTCACTTCTTTTTTTCTAGCTTAGTTACATGTAATGTCCATTTAACCCATTTAGTAATTGGAGGACGTTTTTTAACATTTACACTGAGACACAAGTGACTCACAATTGTTAATTTTGCGTGAGTGAGTGTCTACGTGACTGCAAACATAGAAATAACATGTCCTAGATTATTTATTAACACGTGAGGAAGTCAGCAGCGGAAACGTGTTTGTCTGTTGTTTCAACACTTTATCGTATTTTATTTTGTAGACATTTATTGTTTAAATGTCGTGTTTGTGTACGCCTGCTTTGCTTTAACTGCCCTGTGGAGGATGAATACAGTATAATAATAATAAAGATTTCAATACCTGGACCACACATTTTGCAGCAATCGCCATTCACATTCGCATACTGGGTCAGTGGGTCACATTGTAGCTGAGCAGAGTTCATAACCTGCGAAACAAAATGGGTGTCATTTATACAAATAAAATCACATTTATTTATAAAGCCCAATATTACAAAACACATGTTTCTCAGGGGGCTTTACAGAGTTTGTACAGATCAACAAACATGAATGACAGGGTAAAAACATAATAAATAATCCATAGGAATTATGGTAATGTGAATCTCAAATACAAATAGAATTAAGTAAAATACAATAACTCAGAGGTTTATTAATGCTTTGTATCCTCAGTAGTGTGTGGTTTCATTGGCTGTATGTTAACTTCCTCTTAGTCCATTCTGTTAATGGTGGGAAGTCCCAAGCATTCAAGAAGCTGGTATCCCCGATACTGACAGCCACATGCCCTTTTGTTCATTTATTAACATGTTTTCGCTATCAATATTAAAGAAAATTGCATATTAAGATTCAGAAAAATACGTGTTTCTCAAACAAAACCTCGTCTGCCCAATGCAGCGACGAAAACGAAAGTGAAAGTACATTTTATAAGATGTGCACCATTCTGTCTAAACAGTATCTAAATGGTGAAACATTGAAATAATATGAACAATTAGGGCATAATATCATATTATAGTGCGCTTCTGAGTAAACGATGGTTATGACGAGTCTTACGACTAACTACATTTCGCCTACAGCTTTCAATCACATGACTGGGCGATACAGTGTAACCGCAGCTACATTCAGCTATCTCTAGTCAACATCTTTCATATTTATAATAAAATATATCATGTATCTTACTCACCATGAAACCCAGAAGCAGTATCGGCAGCAGTAGATGCATCTTAGTTCCCAGCATGTTGTCTCTCTCTCCACGGTCACAGTGTGTCTGCTCTGTCCTCCCCTCCTAACTATAAACGGTTAGACTGTTTGTGAGGGTGGAGCATAGGTGGAGCTGAGAGAGGGGATTTCCTCCGTGAATTTTATTTTAGGTCAGGGATGACCATTTCCTGTAAATGCAAAGGCATCCACAGCGAATCCAGAGTGGTGATTTTCCAGAGAAGTATTTTAAACTTTAAGAACAAAATATCAGTGTTGGAAAAAATACCATACAAGTAAAACACCGGAGTGGACAAATAGTCAACTTAAATTATATTTGTGTATTTTAGAATAGGTGAAATATAAGCAAACTGTATTTGAAGTTGTTATAAGTTAAAGTAACGGCTACTTATGAGAAGAAGTAAAATATACTATTATATTATTGGATTATTTGACTCAATTTAATCTAAAGCAACATGTTGCTTAAAAACTAAGTGTATGTTTTGTTAGTAAAATAATATTCAAATACAAATAAATCAGTAACTGTATAGCTGCAAATAAGTGTAATGCAGAAACAAGTAATTAGAGAAATCCGAAAACATGGGTATACTAAAGTAAAGTACAATAAATGAACAGTCCTGAGGTCAGTTTACTAAATCACATTATAGCAGCTGTAACCATGACGTCTTGAAAAGGATAATATGCTTGTTCTGGACCTCTATCACAGCAACACAAGTTTCTATTTGAATTAAACAACCCAATTTACATTGCCTCTTAAGAATTGTATGACAGAGAAAGGGTTGTGTTGTTTTCACAGTTCTCGGCAACACCTGCTCCTCAGTAGCCTGAACACTGCACACACAGGGATTCCCCAGACTCCCCTCTCGAAGGGGGGATTCCCACAACTGGTTGACTGCGAGTGAACAATGCTCTTCTCTCCTTTTCAGATATGCACACTGACTGAATACTCAGTGTGTTGTTATGACCCTGGGTCATTATGTCATTTGTGTGCGGATATTTTTCCCTCCTCCTGGGTGTTTCTCAATGTCAAGGAAGGCTGCTCCAGAGCCACTATTTCAAGGATGCTACGTCATCGAGTCCCGCCGAAGGACGGTTCCAATGTCCAGGATGCTTGGAATTCTGCTGAGGCTGGCGTCCTTCGTTGCGAGAAATTTTGAGGCTGCACATGTGTATCCTCCGCGGTCTTAAAATCCCCACAATGCTTTGCGCACGGACCAATTTCCAAATCTTTGGCGGAAATCGCGCTCCATTTAAGGCGGGGCCTCGCATATGACGCACACCTGTTAGCCTGTTCCACAATTCTTCATTTTCCGAGGCTAAGAAGGATTCTTGCCTCGCTTCTGAAGGAAGTGACTCGGAAGACATGTCCTATCAAGGAAGCGTCCTCGACATTGAAAAACACCCACCGGCCGTTTCTCAATCTCGAGGATGCTGGCTTGGTAGTTGCGTACTTCCAAGTCACTTCCTTCAGAAACGAATCAAGTATACTTCCAAGCCACGGCTTCGGAAAACGAAGAAGAATGGAACAGGCTAACAAGTGTGCCACTCTCTCTAACGGTTTCAACATAAACTGTATCGAAAATACCTCACGATGTCTATCTAATTATGAACTTGCTTTACTTTCACGGATGGTGATAACAAATGTAACAAAGTAACATATTTACCAACACATGTTCTACTCCACTACATACTTACATTTAAATGTGTGCTGCGTCGGTTCAGCCATTCTCCGCAAGGGTTTTTGAAATTGGTCCGTGCGCAAAGCATTGTGGGGATTTTAAGGATGCGAAGTCTACCCATGGGCAGCCTCGAAATTTTCCCCAAACCAAGGACGCGGCCTCGGTGGAATTCCAAGTATGCTGGAGATTGGAACAGTACTTCGGCGGCACTCGATGACGTAGCATCCTTGAAATATTGGCTTGGAAGCCAGTATCCTCGAGATTGAGAAACGGCCCGTGTGTGTGTGTGAGTGAGTGAGCAGGTGGTGCCCGTTAGCTGATTGGCTGCCTTTGACAGGCTGATTGGTCCACCTGAAGAGACTGGAGCATTTAAGCTGCAGCCACGCAGTTCCTCTGCCCTCTCTCTCATCGACCTCTCCTACTCCGTGACTGTTGTAGAAAACCTGATCTATTGTTCTGTGTAAATCTAACGATTACCGGTCCTTTTGTACTTTTTGGTATCTTTGTAAAGATAAACTAATTTAATCTGTCTTATTTTTTTATTTATTTAATCGTTTATTTGGCAGGGACAATGCACAGTAAAGAACACTTAAAACATTCAAATGTATCAAGTGTAACATCCACAGTCCCTCACATAAAACATTTAAGAAAATTACATTTTACAAACATAGTAAAAACTAAATACATAATATGCAAAAAGTGCAAAAGAGCAAGAGCAGCATACACGAGTATTTACCACATGGCAGTACAATGTAGCAGCTACGACATATACGAGAAGATAAAAGAACTACCTAAAGTGCGAGAGGAGATGCCCCTGTGTTAAAGTGCATTTAGCGGTGATTGCACATCTGTTTGTTTCTCAACCATTCTTTGAGTTGACCTTTGAAGCTATTGAGAGTGGGACAATCCTGTGTCTCAGTTGGGAGGCTGTTCCACAATTTAATGGAGGACATTGTGTCCAAAAGTGGTCTGTCTGCGGTGGACTTCACAGTCTCCTCTGGTTTCTGACCTAGTGCAAAATATGTCTTGAAATATGTCCCTTTTCTTTTGTTCAAATCACGTTTTCTCCTGTTTTTTCCTTAGGTTAGGTAAGAAGCCTGTATTTTATTTTACTTATTTTTGTTAGGCAAGATTTATGTACGCCCAGGGTTATTTGTTTATGAGGGTTGTCTCGACTCCTTTAAAAACAAAAAGGTAATTAAAATTACCAAAGGCATTTTTCTGTCTCATTGTCCATTTCGTGGGAATGGGAAGAGTGGGGAGAGTGCAATTTTGTGCTGCGCCTAGGTTCCCCTAGACCTGGGTGTAACAGTGTCTAACACCACCACGTTATCTCTGCCCATATCAGTCTATGGCCCTCACCTCATGCATATGTTGCTAGGCAACAGCCAGTAAACCGGCTGTGTTCAAATGTCGTTGCCTGTGTATTTGTGTAATTACTGCACTTTGACCGGGAGCACCGGAAAAACTTGGACAATGAATTTTCTCAAACTTTCCCTGGCTGGAAATTCCAATGGATATAGAATTATAATCCTTTTCATGAAAATGAAAGCATTTTATGGGAATATTTACACCATTTTACCTCTAAACTTAGTGTTATTCTACTTATTTTGTACTGGCAATTGTGTGCCTTTTCTTGTATAGGCCCTCGTTAATTTGTCCTATGTTCAGAAAAGCTATGCACACTGTTTAATGTTGACTGGAGGAAGGGTTGAAAAAAATGGTAGGTGAAAGGGTAAAATATAGATTTTTGAAATGACTTTCAACTACTCACTTTACATTTTCTTGAATTAATAACATACATATTATTACTGAACCATATGTAGGGTCAGGACTGTGTTGTTGCACCAAGAAAACAAAATGCTCTTACCCTTTTAAATCAAAGGTATCATGGGAAAACCAAGAACATGATGAAACATTTACATTTGCGTTTCAGTTCACAGGTTTTCAAACAAACAATATAATAAAAGTAATATTTCATATGAGTATAGAAGAATAAGTCCTCAGTAGTAATCCATAGGAGATACATGTATTTTTGTATTAAATTGTACTTCTATGGGTCTGGGAAAAGAGCTGCCGGTATCTTAGTGCTCTTTCTAGGTGAAACAGGGTCAGCAGCAGGTAATGCACATTGTGCTGCGAGTTGAGACATGTAAACCGACTTGAATTTTCTGTTGTTCTGCAGAGAAAGCATGTGTGCTGCTGTAGGTGTGGCCAAACAGCAAGTACCTGCCTTACAGAGAACAGTAATATGATCTGAAAGAGGGCGGTGGTAGAAAAATAGTCATACAAATCACAGCCTTTTCCTTTCCCATGTTTAAAGGAGCAGATCACTATTTGGAACTTGCGTGACAAAAAAAACAAAACAGCTTTCGTATCGTTGCTATAAGAGAGAGGCAGTAAATGGACTGAGCATTTGCATGGATTTTTATGTCATCTAAAAAAGTTGTTATGCCAAATTTAGGATCAAGGAAGAAAGACAACCCATCCAGAATGGACAGACACACTGAGGATCTGCCACAGGTACGATTTCAGCTAATATACTATGTTATTAACTGCAAATGTGCTGTGATGTACATGTAAAGTCAATACTTGTGAAGCTCACCCACTCGCTTTCATTAACGTCACTTCAGGGCAGTAAGAGAAACCTTTTTGGTTTATTGAAGTCCCTGGAGCATTTCTTACTTCCTCAATTCAATCTGATTTCCCTGTTGCTCAGACAAAAGAACACATAGTTACTCAGAAATGTGACAGATAATTCTGTTCCTGTAAATCTCATGATGAACAGATGCAGATACTTGCCACGCAGTGCTTCCTCTTTACAGTTTCAGTGAGCTGCTATGGTGAAATATTGCCAGATTAAAATACTGCATGGTAAATAGAAGAGCATGAAAGTAATAAAGGAGGGAGAAAATGGCTGCTACACTATGATTTATGTGTTAGTTTACCAAATGCATTTAGAATCACAATCTTGAATATTGTGGGACATGTGAACCAACATTACAAGTTTACAACAGGGATAACTTCTTAAGTACACACAGGGTAATTAACCTCACAATACTTTTTACTGGCTTGTTGTATTTTCAGTTGAGTAATGAGGATCAGCTGAGCATCATGAACAAGGTGAGGAACGGAGAGTGGTCCATCGAAGATGCTCTGAAGGAAGCCAGGAAGGAAAATAAGCGGCTGTGCAAACAGAACAGCCAGACTGAAGAGGTACCAGCATGTTTAACCTTCCTCAACATTACATTGGTTGTCTTTCTGAAGTTTTTACATGGAGGTTGAGTATATGGAGCAGTTTTTCAGGAGAAGTTCAAAAATACAAGTACGATTATTAGACATAATGGACACCAACCAAATACCCTTAAACTAATCTAACTTGAACTACTAAATGTCAGACAGAGGGGGAACATAAGACCTTGTAAACATGTCACATTAGAGGCACTAAATACAAATATGAACCTATACAATTAGTATAATAGGGCCCCTTTAAACCAAGCGTCCTTACCATTCGATTGGCTGTGATTTAAAGTTCACAAAAGTTTATAAACACAATCGTAAGACATAATAAACCCTTTTCAAATACCCTAAAATCCTACCCAAACTACTAAATGTTCCCAAAACCTTTAATACATCAGGCTAAACGTTGGTTTAAAATATATAAGATATAATAAACACAGACACATTACAAGATAATGATGGAAAGAGCTGCTGAAAAACACATTATAAGTGCTGTGAAACTGAACTAGGCTGTAGAGGAAACTTCTGTGTAGCTATGCACTGGGAGTCACCGACTCAGGAAGGAGACACGGGAAGAGCAGTAGCTTTGATGTCAAACACATGATGGTTTATTTGGAGTTAACGGCCGGAGGAGTCACATCACAAGTCCAAGAGTCAGAGGTTCTGACTTCACGGTAGAGTTGCCACGTCAATTCTGGAGAGCCTCTCTCTTGCCAGCCCATCTAACTGGTTTTGCAGAGAGTAAACAACATATTTGAGGAGATAGCCTAAACAGTGTGGGAACACTGAGCTACTTGCCTCGGACACTTATGACCTCGAAGATTTCACCTTGGAGTCCACAAATACAGAGAAGGAAGTGTCCCAGTGTACCCACAACACAGACCATCTGTATCCCAGTATTGACCGGTCACAGAATGGGAACAATAACATTATTGGCTAAGCCGCCTGTGTCCTTAAAGAAGGTAAACAGACATCGAGGTTTGTCCTGTATGTTACTAATTGGCGTCTTATGATAATTATTTCCACAACATAGGCCAGTGAGCTGCTGGCTGTAAAAAACGAGAGACCTGGAGGTTTTGCTTACAACGTTTTCCATCTCCCCAACACATACATGTGTTTAAATCTTCTCATCTAAAACTGTCTTGTAAAATGGAAGACTGGTGCCCCACATTTCATCATCTACTCTCTAGATATGGTCATGCTAATAAGCTGCTTAGCCTGATGGTTAGCTTTTCAAAACACACCATTGTATGTCCAGTTTGATAGGCCCAAAGGTATTGTGTGAAGGAATGTGGAAGCGTTTGTTCTACACCTACCAGGAAAAAGTTTAGCCGATGATATCATACCTTTTTTAATAGAGATAGTTATCTTGATACTTTCTGTTTTTCATTAAAATGTGTTATTATTTCCTTAAGGTCTACGTGTTTCTAATGTTTAGTTTGTGTGCTTTTGTTGCAGGAACAGCAACCCTCACAATACAACTTCAGTGTTCACAAGCACAACCGGTACAGGTGGCAGAAGCGGGTTCTTCAAGTGAGTTAAAATGAACAAAACAAAACAAAGATTATAAAGGTATGCTATCAGGGAAGTCTGTGAGGCAGGATGCTTTTTGCCAAAGCAACTCAGGCTGCTAACAATGCCCACATGCTGTTCAGCTGGTATAACAGGGTTGGGTATAATGTGTACGATGCTTACCATTTTAGTTTAGCAAGTTAGCATGCTAGCATTTGCTAATTTGCAAGAGACACAAAGTCTATCTGATGCTAACGGGGGAGTCATTGCTTTTGCAGGTATTTGGTCCTAAACCAAAGATTTACAGCAAGTCAACAAAGTTAGTATGAATCACCCACAGGGGAACATGAATTAATTAAAAAGCTTCCTTGGCAATCCATCCCTTAGTTTGTGAGATCATGCGTATCAGCCCGCTAGCATTGTTAAAAACACTGTCAGAAGATAACATTTTTACTGTGTTACTGAAAATAATATATCAATTCAAACCCCCTCATTGTGACCAACCCAGATTGATTTGAAAACCAAAATGCTGTGCAGCATCGAGAAAGGCATCATCAAGCGGCAACTTCTCTTTTCGATTGTCAAAAGTTGTGATGAAGGAGTGGGTTCCAGGTTCTCCATTTCCTTTAAAGGATATCATGATTATGAATTGGAGGCCACTTCAGTGGAAGAAAAAAACAAGGTAATGTATATTTGTGGGATCTCTAAAAAACCTGTCATTTGTGTTGAAAAATGTACATGCAGAGAGAACGAAACATGTTATTTTTAAATTCCTTTTCCTGTTTTCTACTATTTTCCGGCGGGTGCTTCTCAGATAATGCAGCTTGTGAATCGGATCATTTATGCGAACATATACAGTGACCCTGAAGAGTGTAATGCAGAAACCCCTCAGCAGCCTGAAGCCTCACAGAGTCTTCGTGAAGGCGTCTTGTTGCTGCACAGAGGCGGCTTGGCCTCATTCAGATGGGTGAAGTACGGATGTGTCTTTGTTATTGTAACGCTACTTTAGTAAAACAGATAAACACCATTTATGATAGTGATGAGAAATGTCAGTTGGCAAGCACCCTAACCCAAGTTGAGACCGGGAGGACGTGTGTTGAAACCGCACCTGAAAAAACCTACACATTGTGTGGACCCAACATGTGGTCATAGCTTAGTATACAGAAAACAGGAAGCTAATCTGACTCTGCCCAAAGATAACACAACTCATGCACCAATATATTAATTAAAAACTATACAAATGCCATAAAACGGTATTTGGTGATTTAGAAACAAGAATTTCTGAATTTGAATCTGAATCTTGAAGAGTTATCTTTTTAATCCAAAATATCAACATCAGAAACCAGTATAGGTGAATGGGTTTATGCATGTGTTTGTTTCAAACCTAATGTTTATAGGGCCTGTGCATATGTACTGTGTTTACATATCGACCTATTGAGTAAAAATGTAATTTCCCCTTCAGGGGGTTCATTATTTCTTCAATAGTAGAGGACAGCAAGTATACTTCCTGCGAAACAGTTTGTGAAGTTCAGTATATAATACACAACCCAGTCTCACGGCATTTTGTGTTATAGTCACGACATTTAATCTATTGATTCGTTTTCACCAACACGATTCTCCCCTTTTTTTCGTGTCACACAGAACGATTTTAAAAGCAATGTATTTCTATTGGTAGTATGTTTCGTGCCTGCAACACGTCTTTTTCTCCGTTTGGGTCTTGGAAGACCGGAAGCTGTGTGGTTCATAAAAACATGTTCTTACTCAATATCAAGCCACGATTATTGTTTTTATTTAAAATCGTATAATGTCGGACTTTTTTTGTCGTCTGTAAGGACAAGAAATGGGGCTCAGAGCCTCAGAATACTGAAATCTGTATTTTTAAATCTTTTTTTCCTTCTAATTTGTTATTCTTTTCAAAATAACACACTGTTATTTACTCACCAATAACACACAATTATCCTTGTTTTTATTTATTGGTTTGATTCCATAATCTCTGGCTTTTTTGGCGTCCGTCAGGAACTGAATTTCAAAATAAAAATAACCGGAAACAGACGTAGGCCTATAAGGGACATTTCGAGCATCATTGCGATACACAGCCACTGAACTGATTACCCAAGATCCTCAGCTATGGTCTAAGCTCGCTGATTGGATGTTTTAGCCGCAATGCATGTAGGGATGTGGTGTTAATGCCATATCAAATCCGAAAAACATTTCTGAGTTTAAGACACTACCCATAATCCCCAGCTATCGTTTAGGACTACAGTCCCCCGTAAGGTTACGCCGATCGTCAAACAGCTGTTTGAAATGGAACGAAACCACGGCAGACTATCCAAAACTGGAATCGAACGCCCCCCCAGAACTACACATGCTGGCTATTGTGTTTCGCAAAATGTTCTATGGGACGTCTCTACTGAACGTTTTCGTTTTTCCCACAATTAGAAGTTGTCAGTATTAAACACATTGGTGTTATCAAATGTAAAACATATAATTAATAAATGGGTGAAAATCCCTTGTGTCCATAATGCGCAGCATTAATACCCACATGACAGCTCATTGTTACTTTGTAATTCTACTCCACTACAATTCAGAGGTTAACCTGGTATTTTTACTCCACTACATTTATTTGAGTTACTTTGCAGATTCTGATTAATGATGTGAAATATAAACAACCCTTAAATCAGACTTTAGTTACACCTGAGTAAAATTCAGGTAAGGTGATTGTCAAGTGCCAACAATCAGGAGAGATATTTGATAGTTGGTGCTTGAGAAGACTAAACATTTATCTGCAATTGACATGAATGGAAACGAGTAATAAAGTATATTCATTACTCGTTATTCTCTAGCTAATTAAAGACTGTATAATGACTATTTTGCACATCCCTATCAAGATTTCAAGATTTTTTAAGGTTTATGGACATATCATATACACAACTATGGTGTAGTTATGCAATGAATGAAAAACTTGGGTCGCAGCTGAGGTTTCTCAACAGTGCATTACAAGACATCTATCAATATGTGTGTATACCTCCATCATTAAACTGTCATATTCTGCACATTTCTTATACTATCTACATACATAAGAGTATAATTCATATGTATAATATCAGTTAAAATAAGTGCTTCAACATAGTTAACATTGCAGGAAAGCAATATATTAGACGCTAAGTACTTTGTCAGGCTTAATATTGATCTGTAGACACCCCCAAAGTTTTTTTCTTATTTAAAAGAAGACCTTAATCTAAAGTATTATTTAATGTTTAAATAAATAAAGGTTAATTCGTTTTTCTGTTTTGCACCTCCTCCTATTATATCTTTGTACATCCTGCACTAAACTGTTTTATTGTAGAGATCACTTACATGTATAGTATCTTCTTGATTTTTTATATTCTATATTTCTATCATTGACCTTCTACTTTCCCCCTATAAAAGTATGTACTTTTTTCATCAAATATAACACATAAAAACAATAATTCAATAACGTGCTTTAACCACTAGGCGGTGCACACAAGGTACACACAGCCATAATAACTTTGTATTATTAGTGTAGGACACTTATGTATGTACAACATCTGAAGGTGTAGTTTTATTCATGTTTTCACATACTTTTACAGCATATTGCTATATTATTTCAGACTCAGTATTTACATTCTTATATTCAAAGAAAACCAGTAATATCTTTAAAAACTACAAGTCCTTTTATATCAGCTGTGCACCGTTATGGTGTAAATATAACCTATCTATGAATTGGATCAAATATAAAAGTCAGCCGAATTACTGTTGATACTGCAAAGAGACGTATTGTGTGAAGAGAAATTGAAGATGTTGTTTAATTGTTGATATATTTATGATCCACGTCAAGTATTCAGTTTCGGCGGCATTTCTTCCAGTTTCTCCAAAGGTCATCTCATCAGGGCTCTATAAATAAAGAACTACGGCAGATCTGTAATATGTAATGCAGCCGAACCGTGTATTACAATGCCGTTATGTGATGACTTCCAAAGAGAAAAGCAAAAACACTCGGAATAAAGTATTATTTTCTTTAAAAAAAAATGTTTTTCGGATTTGATATGGCATGAACACCATATCCCTACATGCATTGCGGCTAAAACATCCAATCAGCGAGCTTAAACTATAGCTGAGGATCTTGGGTAATCAGTTCAGTGGCTGTGTATCGCAGGTATCGCATGCTACGTCTGTTTCCGGTTATTTTTTATTTGAAATTCAGTTCCTGACGGACGCCAAAAAAGCCCGAGATTATGGAATTAAACAAATAAATAAAAACAAGGATAATTGTGTGTTATTGGTGAGTAAATAACAGTGTGTTATTTAGAAAAGAATAACAAATTAGAAGGAACAAAAGATTACAATTATGAGGCTCTGAGCCCCATTTCTTTTCCTCACAGACGACAAAAAAAGTCCGACATTGTACGATTTAAAATAAAAACAATAATCGTGGCTTGATATTGAGTAAGAACATGTTTTTATGAACCCCACAGCTTCTGGTCTTCCAAGACCCGAACGGACAAAAAGACGTGCTGCAGGCACGAAACTTTTAAAATCGTTCTGTGTGACACGAAAAAAAGGGGGAAATCGTGTTGGTGAACACGAATCAATAGATTAAATGTCGTGACTATAACACGAAATGCCGTGAGACTGGGTTGTAATACATACTGAATACAGTTGTTATATAGTATGCGTATAGTTCCTCTCTTTCTTACCTTCTCCCTTTTGTTCCAGATATAAGGTACAGCTGCGCCCAGGCGAGCTTACAATGGTCCCCATTAAGCGCCGGGGCCCCGCTGACGGTGAGGGGTCGTCCTCTCCGACCGTCCCCATCGTGGTTCACCTGTCGGACGGAGACACCAGCGTACCGAAACCTCACGGCTCCGACACGTTCACCCTGATCACACACAAGAATCAGTACCAGTGAGTAAGGATTATTGAGATGTGGAAACATTCCAACCTTTTTTACTACGACCGCCACTAATGATTGATTTTTCCCTCTAAAGTTTTCGCATGATAACATGTCAATAATGACCATATATTTCACCAAATATCAAAGATTAGAGAAAGAAAAAAATCTGATCTCATGTCATACTGTATACTAAAAAATCAGTCAGAGGGAGCAAACCAATACTTTACCTTAATACTAATAAGGACGAGATGTTATCAACAGCAAGTCGGCCATCTTTGACTAACCTCACGGGCGAGCTCATTAGAAGTAACACTTTCAATTAAACTTTACAAACATGGTCGGTAGGCACTGTTGTTTAGCTGGCTGTAACATTTTCACAACCAGCGAACAAAACAAATAAAGACCATTGGATTAAGTTTAATATATGTCTCCCCTCATGGACATTTTACAAAGGGGAGGTAAAGCCAACATCAACAAGAGATGTAGAATAGTTTGGGTAGCAGCCAACTGCTGACTTTACTGCAAGTGTCTAAAGGAATTGCTCACCTAGAATAACAAAAGCCATTATAGAAGGAAAGAGATTACAATTATGAAGTGACGCAGTATATATATATATATACACTTTTAGATGTATTATGCATGTTAAGCCACTGTTTTATTGACATTCATTTAGCATAGCACTTGCTATCTCATCTTTGTCTGTCAAGAGCTTTACTCTGTAGCTTTACTCCCTTCAGCCCCTCAATATTTTAATCTCTTCTGCCATGCATTTAAAAAACATTGGATTGTTTTATGTAAAACATTAAAAGTATGTATTAGGATGCAGCCTTGTTTGAGTTATAATGTCATAAATATAGGCCTCAACTTTTAACTACCAGACAAAGGTCAAATAAAAAGGGAAGTGTGCAACTCGATTTTGACAGGATAACAACTGATGACTTCTAGAATTGTGTGAGTAACATTCTGTTTTTAGACTTCTCTGTTTCAGTGTGTGTACTCTGTATAAATGCTCTGTAGTTGATCTGACTGAAATTGTGATTTTAAATCTCAAAACCGCTACAGTACAGAAACTTGGGACAACTAATTTGACAGAAACCTTAAAACTGAACTAACTGACTGCTATAGGGTTAACTTTGATTTAAACATTTGTAGAATACTAAGAGCTTTATTGAGTAGGTGTAACTGTATTAAGGGTTAAACTCATAACTTTATAACTTAGAGTTTAATGTAATTGTAAAACTAGTGATGTTACGTATTGCGCCGAGGCTTCGGAGCGTGTGTCGAGTAATCCCCGAAGCTTTTTGTGAAGCTTGTATCGAGGCTTGTATCGTTTTGGGCCAGTGACGTCATCGAGGACAAACGAAGCCTCGCTGCCTGTCGATACCACGTGACTGCTTCAGGAAGCGATTCAGATCGGTTGAACCGTTGAACCACAACGCTCATAATGCCCATGGATGTATAATAAGAACGATATTACCCCTCCTGTACCGGGCCCGCTGGTGACACGATGGAATTAAAAGAGCTCAAAACCTCACTTATATAGAGGTCGGAACCAGTGGCGGCTGGTGGAAAATATTTTTGGTGGGGCTGTTGATATAGTGAGTAAAAAAAATGTCTTGAGGAGAAATTACCCCTTAAATTAGGACTTCTGGTAATGTAATGGCGCGTTTCCAGTGCAGCGCGGAGCTCGCTTTAATGCTGTGTTCAGACCGGACGCGATGCGAATATTCGCTTCGCTCTAAACGCTCCTATCGCATCGCTCTAGTCGCTCGAGTTTCACCGCGGCTGCCAGCTGTGTTTACTCGCATCATTCAAACAAGACGCGCTGGCTCGGGAGCTACAACTACAACAAAATGAACATATTTTACCGTGATTAAATTGTAATACACGTTTCGAAATTATACCGACGTAACAACATACTGATACCGGTTAGTAAAAACCATGAATTAATGCTTTGACAAGTCTGCAGACAGACGGCAGGCGAAAAACCTTTTAGAATGCTTGTTTTCTGAATGGAGCTTGGCTAAGCTAACGTTATGCTCCGACCGTCCACACTCACAACAACGGCCTATACAGACATAAATAAACCAGCGACTGTATTCTCCATGACACAGACAGTCTGTGGTTTGTACTTGTTTAACTTTTGTCTAGTTTCTGAACAGATCGGATCTGTCCCCGGCTGTTTGAAGAGCAAGCATGGGAAACAAAAGATAGCATTTACCTGTTTGCATCGTTTGCATCCAGCTAGCCTCGTTGATACGTTTTGTCTTTTTCACGAGCTTGCTGTGATATATACAAATCGGGTTGGTCCGGTCCAAGGTCTTTAAGTATCAATTTATCTCCCAAACTTCTCCTTTCGAAAGGATTGGAGAGTAGCTCTTGCACGGAATTGGGTGCGGACCGAGGTCCGGCGACTCCACCTGCACACCATTCTCATCCAAATACTGCGTCACCTTGGTCACTCACGAGTCTAAAAAACAACTCACGTCAACGCACGTAAGCAACGTGGGCGCCAACGTGAGCGCCCTCGTGACCAAAATATTTGACGGCGCTGATTGGCTGAAATTATGTTTCGGCGGCACAGTTTACTATTGAGACTTTTGCAACGTGCTGGTTGCTGCTGTTTGTCTCGGGGGCTCCGCCCGGTAATTATAAACTAATGCCATGGGCAAGGCCAGGCAGGAAAACATGTGACTTATCAGTAACTTTAGACATCGTAACACCATTTTAAACGAGATTTTATTGTAGATTATACATTTTACTGATACCAATTGTATGATATTGACCTTGTTCATTAAAAATAAAAAAATAAAATATATATATTTAAAAAAAAAAAAAAAAATAAAGTAATATATATTTTTTATATATATGTTTGTATGTGGGAAGAGGTGGGCCGGCCGCCATTGGTCGGAACATGTCATAAGTATAAATAGATACAAGCATAAATAAATGTAGGAAAAAAAACATGAATGAATAAATACAGGAATAAATATGTTACAGTGTTTTCAGGAAGATTCAGCGTGTGTGCTGTGGCTCAGCTGGAAAGCAGTTGACTCACGACCGTAGGGTCCCTGGTTCAACGACTCGTCAATAGGTCTTTTTTGTTGTTTATAAAAGCTACAGCTAAATGAGATAATGTAGTTAATACATTTATTCTTTGATATGGTTTAGCCTTTCTCAGGCTACAACATGGTTACGTTTATGAATATTAGTAAGGAATACAAATCCCTCTTTGCAATGTTTACCAGCCTCCTTAGGCTTTTCAATCACAATCATTAAACTGGAATAAAAACAATATTGTTAACATGAAAATATGATTTTATGTTCGTTGTTTAGAGGTATTCAAAGGCTTTACTCATTGGGAACTCGGTATGACGGCCCCTACACACGGCGGAGTGCGTTACCGCTTGGCGGTGGGCGTGTCTGAAGCTTGGGGATTTTTTACGAACAACGCGACCAACAACCAATCACATGAATGTCCCGCCCCGGACATACAAAGCAAAGCATTCACGCTACATCCATGCTGGCTAAATATACTGTCTATGCTTGCTAGCTGTCCATTCAAACGAAGTACACTGGCTATAAACTCCCCAAACAGGCGAACACCTACCAGTTTCACCCTCTGTCTCTGCCACCTCCCCCCATGCCTGGCTCCTCCGGTTTGTATCCCTGTATGTAAAGAGGGACTGGTCATAGAGTACCGGGTGATTCCCTACCGCCACGATCTTTTTCTGCTCCATTTTTTAACATATGGGAAATAACTGCGGTCTGGCTCTCCCAACATACACGCGGTTTGATTGGCTAGCGCTTGGAATGTCAGATTTGCATACGCGGGATTTGATTGGCTGACGCCTCCGTCGAGGCGGCAAAAGTAGAATATTGCTCTACTTTTTGCAGCGAGCACCGCGAGAGAAGCTACGCTTTGCTCCCACAATGCAGTTCGGCGAATCGTGACGTCACCCCATTCAAAGTGAATGGGCAGAAGCGTTGAAGCGGCAACGCACGCCGCCGTGTGTAGGGGCCGTGAGAGAGCACACTGTTGAGATGTCCAATCTGCCTGTTGTACACACTTTGACCAACAGGGGGGTTTGTGTTCAAATGAAGCCCATGATGAAGCCTCATGAGATGAACCCTTTTGCGAACCAATTGGCTGGAAAGCTTCAAAGCTTCATAAGGCTTCATCTCACCATCACTATGTAAAACCATTGTGCCACGGAAAAGATACAATAACAACTCAGGAGTGAGCCAGTCTAGATTTCCTTTTGAGGCCCACCAGCTGCAGAGAGTTAACTAATTAAAGGGGCGTGGCCCCACAGCTGTGAGAACTCAGTAATCAGGTGTCCATTTTAGGTAGCACTTTCCTGGAGCGTCAGCGTCAGACTGACGAAGACAAAGGAGTCCTGTTGGAGTCACATCCTACTTTGATTGAGCTAAGTATCGCTGGTGTTTTCTTTTCTTTTGTTTTTTAGCCCCTCATGCTATAATCATGTGTATTTTCTCCATTCCTGTTCATGTATCTTCTCGCAATTATCACTGGCCCCGTGTATCTCCTACTCTATATAACCGGCCAGCTCTCGCCTATCCCACATCTAGTTTTAGGTGGCCTGTGGAACTGTCAGTTGTTCCTAAGGCTGACTTCATTTCTGGCTACGCCTCCCTGCAGTCTCTGGATTTCCTTGCTCTCACTGAGACCTGGATCTCACAGCTCGGCAGGCTCCTGCTCCCTGGCTAAATGACTCACTGTGTGCTAATAGAACCATCCTTCGGGCAGCAGAGCGGAAACGGTGGAAATCCAAACACCATGACGACCTCCCTCTGCTTCGATCTCTCAGGCAAAAAGCACTTTCTTTCAAGATAAGATCCAATCTTCCTATTCCAATCCCAAAAAACTATTTTCCATCTTTTCCACCCTCTTACAGTGGCGAGCCGTCAGGGCCCTCTGTGAGGGCCTAAGATATTCTAAAAAATAATATTTGAAAACATTAAAAAAATAACATTTTTTTCCCAATATTTCTTTGTTGTTACATTTTTCATTAGGTTTACCAAAATAACTTGATTTAATTGTATTTAAAATAACATTTCCAAAGAAATAAATCCTTAGAATCTGCCTGTTCAGTTTCTGTTAGAATGTGAAGGGTTAAATGCCGTCTCTGCGAGTTATGTGAAGACGGGAGAGCTTGTTGGTCCCTCTCTACATTCACAGAGGGCCCGCTATAGTAATTCAACGAGAGAGTAATGTCAAATTACTTTGGCCAATGTACAATTGGCCAATCATATCTTCCCTCTAAATGGGCGGGCTTTATTTTCGCGGACTTTATGACAAGTTCCGCCCGCTGTGAGGTCTATGCAAGTGGTGCAGTGACGCGTCCTAAAACCCGGAAGTAAGCTGCGCTCGGATTCCCTCGACAAAAGAGCAGTGGGATTTCTCCATAGGATTTTGGAAAATAGCTCGAAATAAGGTCTGTGGAAAACGAACCTGTTAGATAAATGCACGTTTTGTTCAGCCGGATAATATCCACATGTCTACCCTACTTTTATTATTTTCGAATCATAAATCTAAACGATAGATTTATGATCGATAGATTTATAATTAGCATAAGTTCGTTCATGATGGCTCACTTCAGTGATATGACATCATTGCGAAATTATTAACCGAGTCATTTTCAAGATTGAGTTACAATGATAAACTGGAGTGGCAAAGGATCAGCTGAAGCAAGTAGGCTTGTTTGAGACGCGTTGCGGCTCGCCTCGAAAGTAGACGAGAGTAGCTGATCGCAGCCGGGGGAGGTCTCAAAAAGCTTGCCTGAAGTCGGACAGCTCGGAGTCGGCTTCGTCTTCTTCTTCTTCTCTCGGTTTTTTGGCGGATTGCAAACAACTTTAAGGTGCATACCGCCACCTCCGGAGTCGGCTTGACTCGGTTTGCATTTAAGAATGCACACATGTGTTTAATCGTTAATGTCAGATATGTACTAAGTAAATACATTTGTTCCTGCTCAAGATTAGATTCAACTTTATTGTTATTGCACATATTACAGGTACTGAGACAACGAAATGCACTTTAGCTTCTAACCAGGTGCAACAAGCAGTGAAGTGAAAAGTAATGTACACAATCTACAGAATAAAATATAGAATGAATTGAATGATGAATAAACAGTGAGGGGTATGAATACACTAGATATCAGCCTGTGAGCAGTATGAACAGTGTGTATGAATATGCTAAGATATATAAAGTATGAAAACGGTAAGCAGTGCAAGTATAGTATAAAATATATGGATATTAATTTAATGATGATAAATATTGTGGAACAATGATGAAAAATGGGAATGGATGTGGCGACGTAAAACTGACGCAAAACAACAACAAAGTTTTGCCGAGCCAATTGGAGAGTTTCATCAGCAGTACGTGGTAAAAACCACCAATGAGCGCTCAGCTCGAGATACCAGCGAGTCGTTTCCCATCAAGCATTTCGCTTCCGCAGCCCGTGGAGAGGAACTGCGCCGCCTCGCCGCGCCTCGCTCTCAAGGCTGCGGGCGTCTTTGTCCCGCGAGATTTCAACGTCTCATGTAGGCGGGCCTCCAGAGCAAGTCGGACAAAATGACTAACCATCATGCAACGCACGAGCAAGACGTTGATCGAAATTGCGCAGGTCTGCGCAGGTCTCGCTTGTCTCAAACAAGCCTAGTGCTTCATCCAAAAGGACAGGAGGATGGACTTTATGTTTAGGTGATTTGATCATCAAAGGTAGGCCTAAGTCATTTTCAATGCGGGCCGCCGTGCCGACTTAATTCATTTATAATTGTTACTTGGCTGTGGGTGCCCTGTCATGATAGGTGTTTATATAAATGGTGTTGTTCTGTGTGGTAGAGGGTCGCTGTCATTGATGCGTTTTGCACCCCGGGCCGCTATTTTGATATTCCGCTGAAGTATACACTGTGACGTAATATCTCTTCTTTTTTTTCGAGGGAAGGGGGGAGTCAGAGGGCCTAGGTATAAAAGTCACGGCTCGCCACTGCCCTCTTAGAACCCCCCAAAGCCCCTTCCCCCTCCTCCCTTCTGTCAAGCGACTTTGTTAACCACTTTGAAAAAAAGGTTGATGATATTCGCTCTTCTTTTTCTGACTCACCTTTACTCACCGCTGGGTCACCAGACCCTCCTTCCACCAACACACTGACCTCCTTTTCCCCTCTCTCTCCAAGTGAGGTTCTTACCCTCATTACCTCTGCCCGTCCTACCACTTGTCCTCTGGACCCTATCCCCTCAAACCTTCTTCAGACTATCGCTCCTGATATTCTACCGTTTCTCACCCATTTAATCAACACTTCTGTAACTTCTGGTCACTTTCCAAACAGTCTCAAGGAGGCAAGAGTAAACCCTCTCCTAAAGAAACCCACTCTCACCCCGTCTGATATAAACTACAGGCCTGTCTCTCTCCTCCCGTTCCTTTCTTTAAACAACTCTCCTGTTATCTCCATCAGAACAACCTTCTGGATCCGCACCAGTCTGTTTTCAAGGCAGGTCACTCTACAGAAACTGCCCTCCTTGCTGTCTCTGAAGAACTGCACACTGCTAAAGCAGCCTCCCTCTCCTCTGTCATCATCCTTTTGGACCTGTCTGCTGCATTCGACACGGTGAATCATCAGATCCTCCTTCACACTCTCCAAGAACTTGGAGTTTCAGGCTCTGCACTTTCCCTCCTCACCTCATACATCAAAGACCACACCTTCAGGGTAACTTGTAGAGGGTCCAAGTCCGACCCTTGTCAATTAACTACAGGGGTCCCTCAGGGCTCTGTTCTTGGTCCCCTCCTCTTCTCCCTGTACACAAACTCGCTCGGATCGGTCATTAGCCCGCATGGTTTTTCATACCACTGCTACGCTGACGACACCCAATTAATTCTGTCCTTTCCCCGCTCAGAGACCCAGGTCGTCGCACGCATCTCTGCTTGTCTAGCTGACATCTCTCAGTGGAAGTCTGCCCACCACCTCAAGCTCAACCTTGACAAGACTGAACTGCTTTTCCTTCCGGGAAAAGATTGTCCCACTCTTGACCTAACAATCAACATCGGCACCTCTATTGTTTCCCCGACTCAGACTGCAAGGAATCTGGGTGTGATCCTAGATAACAAACTATCCTTCACTGCAAACATCGCTGCTACAACCCGCTGCTGCAGATACACGCTTTACAACATCAGGAGGACACATCCCCTCCTGACCCAGAAAGCGACGCAGGTTCTGGCCCAGGCCCTTGTCATCTCACGCCTTTACTGCAACTCCCTCCTGGCTGGTCTACCTGCATGTGCATTCCGACCTCTGCAGCTCATCCAGAATGCAGCGGCTCGTCTGGTCTTCAACCTTCCTAAATTCTCCCACACCACTCCGCTCCTCCGCTCCCATCACTGGCTTCCGGTAACTGCTAGAATCCACTTCAAGACAATGGTACTTGCGTACCATGCTGCAAATGGATCTGGCCCTTCCTACATCCAGGACATGGTTAAACCATACACCTCAGCACGTGCACTCCGCATCAGCCAAACGGCTCGCTGCACCTGCACTGCGAGGGGGACCCAAGTTCCCATCAGCAAAAACACGTTGGTTTGCTATCCTGGCTCCAAAATGGTGGAATGAGCTCCCCATTGAAATCAGGACAGCAGATAGCTTGCACATCTTCCGGCGCAGACTGAACACTCATCTCCTTCGACTCCACTTCGAACGATAGAATTACTAACAAAGAATTACTAACAAAGCACTTATATACTAATAAAGGACTCGCTTATCTAAAGCTAGTTGAGTAGCACTTGAAATGTTTTGGCTCTATGAAACCTGATCTACTTATATAATTCAGTTTTCTTCTAGTTTGTATCTTTTTGGTCGAATGCACTTATTGTAAGTCGCTTTGGATAAAAGCGTCAGCTAAATGCAAAGTTGTGTTGATCTCTTGCAGGTTTCGGGTGCCTGTGCCAGATTACACCCCCGCCCCTGCAGGTGTTCAGGGCGAGCGAGACGCCTGGGTTCACGCCATCGACAAACTGTGCTCAGGGTGGAAGAGGAAGTCAATGGGCGAAAACATGTTTGTGGGAATACCGGCTCTACGACATCTTAGCATAGCAGAGGAGCCAGAGGACACAGATCTCCAGTCGATTGGTGGAATAATCACTTATCCTCCAGTTGATTATAAAAATGCAAATCCCCCTCCTTGTGGTGAAGATCATTTATCAGCTGAAGACACGAGTAAAGATGATCCCACAGCTGATGGGACAAAGCCTGTTCCTAAACCTCGCATCAGTAAAAACCTTGCCGTTATAGACCCTGATATGTTGCCTCCCGTATCATCACCCACATCCCCCGGTGTCTCTGCCTCATCTCCCCCGACCCCCCCTCGCCCCTCACCCCTCACCCCTGCCCTCACATCATCCTCCACAGCCCCAGAGTCTCCTAACCCAGAGCCTGTTGTGAAAAGGGCTCCCCCCCTGAGCACCCCGCCGCCTCCACCCCTGAGCACCCCGCCGCCTCCACCCCTGAGCATCCCGCCGCCTCCCCCTTTACCCTTCAAGTTCATGAATTTTAAAAAGCCACGCACCAAAGCCTTCCACTGGGACGTAGTTGGCACAGATAAGGTAACACTGTCACTTGTCAATTAAAACTCCATCCATCAGAAGACTATATATTACCATATTTTAAGTATAAAGCTTACAAAGTGACTCATCAGTGTGAATTATTCATATTTAAATGTGTATTATATGTATTTTTAAGTGTTTTTATTATCGTGGCAATGAAAGGTCAGTTTCAGCTTGGTTTCACTTCATTAGAACCTCATATTGCATCATTGTTGAGAATTATAGTCTGTGTTATCTGTCGTTTATTGCTTCCCCAGCGTTGCTCTTTTGTAATGTTAACATTGATTTCCTCCTATAATGGAGTTGTCTCACTCACACACAATTTGTTTCTTGGCAGATTGCAAAATCATTTTGGAAACAAGAAAGCACCGGGAGGATTGAACTCGACACATCGCGCTTATTTGAGCAATTTGCCGTTAAAGACATGGGGACGTTTTGTGCGTCTGAGCCGAGCACCACGCAGCATATTATGCTCAACCAGAAGATTGCACACAACTTCAGTGAGTAGCTTGATAATGAAAGTCTGAGTTCTTATTTGAAGTTGCTTATTGTGAATAATGTCTGTTATAATAGTTAATTTGCAGTGTTTTATCATGAATTACAATGTTCATGTTGAAATGAAAGGGAATCCTTCTGGAATTAGTCAGATCAATAAGCTTTATGCTCATTTTCAGGTTCAGAGAGACACCAAATAAACAAAAAGGGCCTTTTACTTTCAGTAAATCAAAAGATGTTTTGTGAAATGAATCCAGCAGAGGGAAGCACCACATAGAAAGAGTAACCAGGAACTCTGCAGAATCAGTGTTAATGTCAGTATTCATTTTCATAAATGAGACTAAAACGGCCCATTATGGGGAATCTGACCTGAATCTATTAAGGGAGGGCTGTTAAATGATACCAATGTGCTCTTTTAAAAGGATGAATGAAACTATAATGACAGTGTGTAAGGCAAATAGATGGATGTTCCTCCTCTGTGTCTGCAGGGGGCAGTGTGTCATCAATCCTGCAGTGACACAACTATCCATGCTATCTGCAGAGCTTTTGTAAAGTAGAACATATTCTGTATCTCATCTTTAACGGCTTTTCACTTTTGATTAACTCAGTGTACGTGGCTTGTATATTTCAAGACCCTAGCCAGGGGGTTAGGGGAGAACATCTCAGAAGCTTCCTCTCACAGACTCTGTGCGGCGATACAGATGTGGTGGTGGAGGTGAGCTTCTTAATGGAATCGGTGCGAGTGTACAGGCTGAAAATATAATTAGAAATCACATGTTCATAACATATAGAAAGGGCATCTGAGCGACAATGGCAGGGATTTCCTGTCCTGGCTCAGAATACAGGCTTTCAGAGTGTGTGCTCCTGCCTGACCTGGAAACGTTGGTTGTGTCAGGAGCTGGCGCTGAGAGATGACAGCCTGCAGGCAACCTGAGGCCATGCACATTCTGCTGGAGCTTTAGAAAAAGGTAGACTTTTGAAGAACAAGGTGATCTGTCCGTCTCTTCTTTGGTCTTATTAAAACTGATTGAAAAAGTGACTATTCAGCAGTGGTGGAAGAAGTATGGACACTTTTAAAAGGAAATTAGCAAATGTGTAATGTTAAGACAACTCAATATAAAGTAAGTAAGTCCTGCATTATAACAGTGTCTAATTACTATCATGAAAGTTGCTTCAAAATTGTAATCCATTACAATTAATAGTTACCTGTAAACACTTTTATCGGTAACCAAACCTAAGCATCACAATATAAAAGTAATTATTTCTGTTACTTTTGGATTATCTGTCAAATGCAACTGAGCAATTTAAACTTGGATTTTATTCGGCATATTCAGGCAGTAGCCAATAGAATAATGAAAGTGCACATACTATAGTATAAAATCTGAGAGAAAATGTTGTGTTTAATTGCATAGAGCTAAGATATCACACACTATTTAATGAACATTAAAAAAAACACATACTTTGTTTTATTATTGTAACATTATAATCCTGATTGTAATCCCATTTATTTAGTAATGTGACAGTTATCAGATTACATATTTTTTTATGTAACTCAATGGGGAATACTATGAGCTTTTTTTGTATCCCGATTACGCAATCTGGTTACATGTAATCCCCCAAACCTGATTACTATTAGCAAAATTGAAACTATCATAAAGTTTTAATAATACAGAGAAATATAAAATAAATATACATTTTACAATGTATTATTGAATGTTTATAACTGATGCAATAATAGTAAGAGGTAATGGTGAAGCTACATTTTCATCTGACTGGCAGTAAAATCAAAGTTTGACATAGCACAACATGCTAATACCAGAGGAGGGTACACATCCCTGTAAACTGATTTGATCCATTATAAAAACAGAAGAACTTCCTCAGGATTCAGATCTGAAATGAAGCCATATATTTATTTATACAACAAATAAAATGATAGGTCTTCTCTCTATCTCCTGGCATCCCCCCTCCCTGCATTTGTTTGCATGTTTATCACCACAAACCTGCCTAAACTTGTGGTGTTTATTCAGCTCATATCTGGTTTTTTTGCCACACTATTTATTCATCTGATCCCATTTTACTGGGAGCCATGCATGTGACATTTCTGCGTTGTTGTTGCAAAGATAGCAACATCTCAGCAGATAGTCATGCTGCACCTCCATCAGATGATACCTCAGGTGGTCGATAATTAAACAAATAAGTCAGAACTGTTAATTGGCGTCAGACATAAAGCCGTACCTCTTACTGTGTACATAGCGACTTTAACAACAATATGTTTGTTGCAATTAAACACTGAGGTAGATTGGATAAGTTTGAGTTTGAGCAGTTTGAGCAGGTGTTTGAGTTACTGAGTTTTTTTCTGCTGGTACTCATGTTGATCCTTGTGGGCAAGAAAGAACAACATTGCGTTAAGAATCCATACGACAATGGCTCTAAGGATTCATGTACTTATTTTTAGTATTTTAAGTGCTCGACAGGAATCCAAAGGACTTCTGACAACAAGATTGTTGCTTGTATTGATTGTTTTTATCGCCTTCTTTCGAAAAATACCTACAGAGCAGAAGAGAGAAGGTACTATACAGTTTGTCTGTGAATGAGTACGAGATGGGATTCTGTAACAATAATATCCGTGACCGTCTCTTCACAACGTTCAACTCAGTTTTAGTCATGACGAAATTCTGATGAAATCACACTGGCCCTCTTTGGAGAGATCAGAGGCTAGTAAAGTACTAGGTCTGTTATTTTAGAAAAAAACAATACTATGTAATAAATACTCCATTACAGGTAAAACAATCCTGCATTAAAACATTTACATATGATTAGAGAGATACTTAAAGTATCATAGAGGGTGATTCATTTACATTGTTATATTTTTGATATCGATGAATCGGTGAACAGCGGCATTTTATTGTTATAGCTGGTTAACGTAGAGCTACTTTTAACCAATAAGATATCCAGTGGCCCTTTATCTAAAAAGTAACTAATATACATATAGTAATTAATTGCAGTGGATTAAAAGGAACAATATTTTCCTCTCAAAAGTTGTGGAGTTAAAGTATAGAACAGCGTAAAAAAAAGGAAAAATAGTTCAAAAGAGTTCAGTGAATCTTTCTACCTCTGGGTGAGATCCATTGTGGCGCAATCCTGTTTCAAATTCATGTCCAGCTAATGTGGTTACAGTGTTTCCCACAGATATGAAATATACTTGGGCGGGTGGTGGCAAGGGGGGGGGCACTGTTTGTCAGAGCACTTCATCCTTCTGGGATTTCATGAAGAACAGCTCCAACGCCTGTGTGTATGGGAATGCCTCTGGTGCTGGTCCATTAACTGCCAGTGTTTCCCACAGATCTGAAATATACTTTGGGGGGTGGTGGTAGCGGGGGGGGGTTGAGGTGACGTGCAACAACATGAACCTTTCTGTTGGTCGCTTGTTAGCAGACCCTTCACGCGATGGCAGAGCGAACAGGTACAGGTACAGGCAGGGTCCATAATGATAGCCCTATAGTTTAAATCTACTACCCACACATGAACATATGGAAATGGGTTACTATTTAAAAAAATAAATGTATTTATTAATGTATTTAGGAACCTATCCATGTGATTTTTAGTGGGGGTCGACCTCAAATCCTCTAGGGGGGTCCAGGGGCATGCCCCCCCGGTAAGATTTTATTTTTTATTTTGGAGTTAAATGCATCAATCTGGTGCATTTTGAGGGGAAAATAAAGAGACTAGATCTATGGAAACACCTATATTTAACAGAACTGTATACATTTCAATAATCATAAAATCAAGGCCATAACCAATAACATACCATTTCCAATATGAAAAAAACACTGAAACTTGTTTATTAATTTAGTTTTGGTTCATTTATAGTTGTGAGTGTCTGTGCTCCTGAACCAGCCTCTCCTGTCTCCCTCCTCTCCCTCCTCTCCCTCCTCTCCTGTCTCCCTCCTCTCCTGTCTCCCTCCTCTCCTGTCTCCCTCCTCTCCTGTCTCCCTCCTCTCCTGTCTCCCTCCTCTCCTGTCTCCCTCCTCTCCCCCCTGCTCCTCTTTGAGGCAGCAGCAAAGACTAGTTTTCTCTCAACAAGTTTTAAAAGTGTATCTTACCTTTTTTCACCTAGTTAACTTTTTATTTATTTATTCATGCATATTTTACTAATCACATTACATTTCATTTAGCTGACGCTTTTATCCAAAGCGACTTATAATGACCGATTACAGGGACATTCTCCCTGGAGTAACTAAGGGCTAAGTGCCTTACTCAAGGGCACACTAGTGGTGGTGTTCCTGGCGGGATTTGAACTCACAGCCTTCCGATCTTCAGCCCACCTCACTCTCCATTAGACCAATCACTACCCTCTCAAATGGAAATATGTGTTTACATAAATGGTGACCACACCGTTTGAGACCCACTGAGAACTAAGTTAACTATCTAAACACTCAGAGAGTCCTTTACCTCACCTGAGCTGAGGTTATCCCGAGCTTGAATGACACACAGAGACCAATCAAGGGCTTTGATTTATGATCTGTATGACAGTGGCCATGTCGGCAGGCCACATCATGTGGACAGCCAGTCACCCTGTGTGAGGCAGGCCACTTAACAGGCCAGAAGGAGGCGAGATCAGAGCAAGGGAGCGAGGGATCATTGTCTACAAGTTAATCGATCGCAGATGGCGTCGTGGTCACGGACGAATAAAAAAAAAATATATAAAAAAAACTAAAAACTAAATGGCTCGCGAAATATACTTGGGCGGCCGTTAATATACCTGGGCGGCCCGCCCAAGTATAGTCTATGTGTGGGAAACCCTGGGTTATTTACCTTGAGAGTCCCCATGCACACGGCCTATTTAATGACTGGAAATGTCGCACTCCTAATTAAAAGTACACCTGTGGCTTCCTGCGCCCGGTGTTGAACACTCTCCATCTCCATACTCTAATTTGCCAGAGCAATGGCCAGCTTGTCTGAGTGCCAATCAACAAAGGGCTTGATTTGCACATTTGAGGACAGAAGCCTAGCCATTGTTTTTGGGGCCACAGTTAGTGCTCAAAATTGCATGTTTTCGATATTTAAAAATTAAACCTCATTTAAAAATGGTACATAAGCCTGCTGTTGGTCCTGGTGAGGGAATTAGCGTCTCCAGACTTTAATGTCAAGGATTTAGAGACATGATGATTTCTGCATCCAAAATGCTTAACATTTAATATGATTATTTGTTTGATTTTATGTATCCATCAACTACTGATCCTAAAAAGTATAAGTTTGGTTAATATGCCGATCCTTTTTTATGTTAAAAGTTAGATAAAAAGAAGGAAACCATGTTCATTAGCCGCGTTCACGCCGCATACTTTGCAGTACTTAGTGCCGGCACTTATTACCCCAGGGCACTAATGGCACAAATGGCACATTTCCACCGCAGCGGGGTAGCCCCGTTTAAGCGTCCTCGCTCAGGCCTCGGCCGTCCGAGGCCGTACAGTTTAGGACCTGGGGTAGCAACGCAGTGTAGGCGGGGCGATCGGCTTTTTGGCGGGCTTTTTGGGCGGAGCGACGCTGGGTAAAACTGCAGTGGCGTCATCTTCAATGTGACACAACTCACAAAACACACACAACAATGGAGGATGTGGAAGCGATTCATTTAAAAATGCTGTGTATAAAAATGCTGCAAGCTTGCTTCTAGATATGCGACGCTAGGGATGATCTCGCGTGCGATCTTGTGACGATTCTCTCTGACCAATCAGCAGTCGAGAGTGTTGCCGTCACTAGTTCAGCACTGGCCTGATAGAACCACGATTTTATGGGGCCGGATAAAGAGGGAAAAAGTACACGCTAGCCGGTGCTACGCTTTATGGAAAGGCCACCAAAAACTGTCTCGGACGATTAAGGACGCTTAAACGGGGCTACCCGCTGCAGTGGAAATGCGCCATAAGTACCAATCGCGTTCACACCGGAGTACTTTTCCCTGAGGGAAGATTACGCAAATGAAGCCGCTGACGTCACTTCGTCTTCTTCTGCTTTGGGTTTACTGGCAGGCTGCAAACAACTTCACGGCGTATACTGCCGCCCGAAGTCCCCGGCCGGAAGTCCCCGGAGTTGGGGACTGGCTTCAGTAGAAGCTGCTGGGACTCCCAGCAGCTTCTCCCATGTTTTTTTTTGTGTTTCCATAAATTATTCTCTCTCCATTGGTGCGCTGGGCTAATGCTAATGCTAATGCCAGAAAATACAATGGCGGCTTCACAAAACTTTTTCAGAGTTTTACGGGGCGTGGTTTGCAATTCGCCCAGCCAATCAGAACTGGGGCACTTTTGCCCCCCAGGATAGTACCACCTCTCTAGCAGGCACTAAAAATGGGGGTAAAAGTTCCCGGCACTAAGTACTCCTTTTGGTGTGAACGCAACATAAGGGGTACTAACGGAACTGAAGGGGCAAAGTACGGGGAAAAGTACTCCGGTGTGAACGTGGCTATTGAAGTTACGGCCAGCAGCTACTTAGCTTAGCATAGCTTCGGAGTAGAAGAGTAGAAAAAGGGGGTAACAGTTAGCATAGCTGTGTCGGAAGATAACAAAATCTACGTAAAAAGCATCCTCAGAAGCTCACTCATTATGTGTTAGGCTATAGCCTGTCTTGTTTGTCTTGATCTTAACAAGAAAAAAACTAGTTGCAGTTCTACACGAGCTACGATATAGAAATACATGGATTTCTTAGCTTACCCAGCAACTGTTGTTTAGATTTAGTTTTTTGAGCGGATTAAAAAGACATGATGTACCATGTTAATTACTGAATTTAAAAAGGGTAGTAAAATAATGGTGTTACATTTATGACAGAGCCAGGCTAGCTGCAGCATTTTCAGTCATCTAAGCTAACTGGCTAGCTTCATAGACAGCAGTATTGATCTTCTCATCAACTCTCTTATATTCACACATCGTTTAAGTATTCTTTTTATAAAAGAAAGTATAGTAAAGTATTTGAAGCTTATCAAATATGGGGCTAATTTGTGCAGTCCAGCTATACAAAGCTCTACTTTAGGAAGAGTTTTGACCCAAAGTTAGTTAGTTAGTTAGTTAGTTACAAAGCTCACAACTTATTAAAAGAAAATTGGACTAGTGTCTGAATCTGGCTCAAGCATCTCTGCTGTGTGAAACTCACCAATGTGTTTTACATATATGTTTGAAATTCCTGCAGCCGACTAATGAACGATTCTCACAGCTCCTGAAATATGCAGAGGCATTTTCTGTAATACAAACATCAGCTTTGACTTGATAGAATGCAAATTTCTGCATTTCCCCTAAGGCATCTTGGGGAAAGTAATTAAGCAAAGGACTCCTTTGTCTTCAGAATGCTTTTTGAGTCATTTGATCGCAGGATAAAAAGACCATCTGTCAAGAGGAAAGCTTTCATGTAGCCTACTATTGAGTGTGTTGACTTTTTTTCCCATATCTATTGTTCTTCTAGACATTTTCCTCAAAAGTTTTCCCGTGCTTCCGGGAGAGCTGAAGGACAAACTGTTCGTCATTAACGAGGAAGATGGAGGCCTGTCTGATGGGCACATCACGTCTCTGAGGAGGTATGACTTTGTGCCAAAAAGCGCTGATTGGTATTCATTCCTGATATTGTCACAACGGGAGCCGAGAGGTGAATGACATTTCGCCGCACGGTTAATGGGCGGTTGATGTGTGAGACACAACAGCTTTGAAAAACTAGCCGCTTAGCAACTCAACAAGGGATGTGAGTGCAGCCAGGACAAAGTGAGAAACCACTGCAGGTCATGTGAGGAGGAGGGTCATGGTTTGCACAGCTGTCTCCACAATGTTCTAATACTAAAGAGCAGATACATACATTTTTTATCTCCGGTTATTTGCGGAGATGGAAACTATTGACATGCTCGCGGGAATATATCACTGGAAGTGGGTAAATGCTTCCTAACTGTAACCTGTGGTTTCCGCAGCGTCTTTGGGTGCTGACCTCCTGGAAGACGAGAGTGATCTAATGCACTGTGTGGGGGGCTTTATTTATTCTATAAAAAAAACACAATATATATTTGAATGCGCTTCGGCGTGGGCCTGAGGAATACAATTTTGAAAGAACCACTCCCAACAGGTGCTGCAATATTAATGGCCGTTGCTACTCCAGTTGCTCATGAAAAAGTGAATGCCTTTGCTTTGAGGTCAGAATGCACAGAAATGTCGGAAGGAGGAAGTCCAATTTAAGAGGAGTTCAAAGGCAGTGCGAGTGAGTAAATGGCCGTTAATTCCCAGTGTCTTGTTGTTTTATAGAACTACTTGGCTTTTAATCACGCCCCACTATCTGGGCCACTGGAAATAAATGTAATGGCATCAGTTTAAGGCGGGGAGGTAAAGAACATGGGATGACAGAAAGATGCAAAAGGGGAAGGTATGTGATATAAAAATGAAAACCTCCCCAACTGTCACATGCATTTTTAATATGTACCTATAGGTTTTTATTTTAACTGTTGGATATACAAGGAGCGATATATTTTACATGGACTCAGAACCACATAGCTTAAATGTATTAATCAGCCTAAAATAGCAAGCAGATAAATAACTAAACTTCATATATAAAATTAGCTACATTTTTAAAACAGCTAAACCTTTTATGCAGAGGTTATCAGGGGGGAAAAGCAAATAATTAGTGTATTTTGTACACGGGTTGTAGTACTATTACTTATTAAAAAACAAATGTTCTATTATACTTACAACCTATTAAATGTCTTCAAGCTGTAGAAATCCAACTCCCTTAAAGTTATGATAAACAGACAACAAGAGACTAGTTGGTAAACAAAATGGAGCAATTAAATATTTGCCGACACTCGTAGTAAGAAGTGGATGGAAAAGAACATTTAGAGAGCCTTAAGGTATTAAAAAAACTAGTATGGAATCTAACAAGAATAGTAAAATTGTAACGTTTTGTTTCAAGGTACGTCCCCACGTTGGATGATGTGGAAATGTACAAATCCCACAAAGGACCTGTGGCAGAGCTGCATATTGTGGACCAGTACATGATGGAGGTACAGTTAATAGCTCCGAATATTAACAAGGCTCAAGATTACTATAATTAACAATGTCAGATTATCAGGATTTGATATGAACAGGCTGGCTCTAAAGCAGCTCTTTCTCTTATATCACTTTCTTATAAAAAAAGAGTGGTTGAGTCGACAATGCATCTGCCCCTTCTTTTTCTGTGGGTGTCGTGACAAGCTCTTACCGTTCATGTGTTATCACCTGCCAGCATGCAGCCTTCTGACCGTGTGGTCGGATCCAGGCTGCAGGAGGGAGGCAGATGAGCAGCAGGATCAGCCCACAGTGCCTCAGGAATATTTGACACTTGTCATAAGGCATTGCCTATAGAAACCTCATGTAAGGCCGGAGGCAAAAGGATTTGGTGCTGGACTGCAATCAACCTGAATTACACCAAATAGACAAAATAATCAATAATCTTAGGTATGCAAGTGTTGCACTAAAAAGCAAGAAAAATGGTTACCATTTGAAACTTAGGTGATTACTTACTCCTTTAGGGGGTTTTCTTTCCACGTTATAATTGTCAGTTGCTCCACAGATGTTCTCCCAAAAACTATGAATAATGAAAAAAGATGAATTTTTTTTTTTTATGAATCATCAAAGATTGACATGCATCTTTATCACTTGGAGTAAGTGAGTCCATCATGTATCCTCATCTGCTCTCAGCTCCTCACTGCATAGGATAGTGCGTCATATAACCAACATGATCACCATTTTCTACAGAAAATCATTATCCCCGGATAATGAATCAGGCTGATAGGTGATCCTATGTCTAGTATTGTATCTAGCGCCCAGTCTTTAGCAAATGTTAGAACCCTAACACGCTAAATTGTGACGGTGAACCTGGTAAAAAGAATACCTGCTAAACATAAGCATGTTAGGATGTTTTGGGAAATAAGCACAATGCTTACCTCAGGGTTAAGCCAAAGAAAGAATCCTCACTGCTGGCATGGCTGTAGAGAGTTGAATACACATATTTTTTTATTCTAAGTGATCACTTTCACAGAGAGGACACAACCGTAACATCTCAGAACAAATGTCGTAACATTAAAGAAGCACTGACCTTTTCCCTGAGATAAATCTAATCCTAATAATGCTTTGCAGGCTTCTCTGAGAATATTGCACTACACTGTATTAGGTCTTTGTTTGTTCTTTAATCCTGCCTGTCATGCTTTCTCTGGAAACTTCAATCATGTGCAGAAATCACACAAAAGAGTATTCCTTTTTAAATCTGAAATCTAGTGAACAGGAGTCTCTGATCCAGGTTAAATTATGCAAACTACTCGACTTGTGAGTGAACACTTGAAACTGTACATGTTTGCCTTAGCATGGAGTCAATGTGAACAGTTAATGCTGGATTAGACATTTTAAAGACAAGGAGCATTGAGCAGGATGACATTCTGGGATTTCATTTTATTTTGTGGAAATAGCCAAATGATTACATGAACTTGATTCCTCACACTCATCCCAATATCTTTCCTGAGAATATGTCAATCAAAAGTGCCCTTTGACTTTTAGGAGAAGCTCTCTGAGCTTGAGCGAGATGCTCTGACAAGGTGTAATGATTTATTAGAGGTTAGCGCTGACTCAAAGGTCGACTAGGCAGCTCAGCCAATCGCTTCGAGGTGTCAGGCCTTCACTTTCTCTGTTAAATCAGCCTTTCTACAGGCCTGCAGCTCTCCACTTTAGCCCGAGGTAATCTCACCAAAGAGTCTGTGAGAAAAAGTCGCAGCGACATCATCTCCTCTCAGTATCTCCCTGCTTTTTAGATAATAATCACATGGAAATAGGTTGTGTGATAATTGCACTCTGTTCTGTATGCACACAGCTCATTACACTCACTTCTTCTCCCCCGCTGCAGATGTGCAACATCCCGTGTCTGAGCACACAGCTCGACCTGCTGCTGACTCTGAGAGAGCTTCCGATCGGCATGAAAGACCTGCAGCCAGTGAGTTTACTCCATCACCTATGGAGAGAAATCAAAAGGTTGAATCAGAGGTTGAGCTGTTTTAAAGTCGGCTTTGTTTCCTACAAGCTGAAATTGGGTGAAACCGCACGGCACAGGAGGAGAACAAGTACATGCTAATGTATTCTAATGTTCAGATACATCGTGGCAATAGACATAAATGAAAAGAACAACTGGGCGGAAAGTGTCATTAATACATGAAAGCTTTTCTCCCTCCTGTTTGAGATTTATGTTTGAAGTGGTGGATGAAGTGGTTTCTGTATTTGCTGGATGGTAAAGTGTCTTGAAAACAGAAAGGCAGGACAGGCACACCTCTCCTCGTTAGACAGAGAAGAACAGATGGATCTTAATCAAATCAAGTTTCACTTTTCTGTCGGTGGTGTAAATCATACATTGTTTTTTTTATCGTTATCAGAAAAACCAATAAAAATCCATTTTGGAGTTTTCCCAGGGGAGAGCTGTGGAAATATTTCTTAATTTAACTTTATTCAACAAACCTCTGGACTCTCTTCAAAGACAATCACTCAAGCAGATAAAACAAATACACACCAAGTTATTTAAATAGATTTCTTAAACTTGAAATTTGAAACAATGTTAAAAAAGGGCCCTATTCTACTTGTCTTTTGGTTCATATCAGTATGTAGTGTCTCTCCTGTGACATGTCTCCATGCTTTAATGTTCAAAAATCTCTTTATTGTTCTCATACTGCCTGTGCTGCAGCACCTCTTTTCACCCTCTGTCTGAAACCAGAGCCCAGTCTGCTCTGATTGGTTAGCTGGCCGGCTCTGTTATGATTGATCAACCGCTTAGAGATGTCCCGCCCCTTAGCCTCACGTACAATGTGTTGGAGCGCTAGCCAATAGAAGCGCAATTGTTATGTAGTGATGACTCCTTTGTTTACTTCACTAACAAAATGACAAGTGGAGGCGTTTAGGCGGGGGTTAATGGAGTGAACTTTGGGATTTTAGCCTTTGCAGACCATTTACATGCACACAAACCTATAGAACAACCCCAAAAGGGCCCCTTTAAGGCTTGCACAGTGTATCCAGACATCTCCAGTTCAACATTAGTCAGACTAATCATTAACGCTCGTACAGAGGATTGTTGTTTATTGGCGTTGAGGACTGCAGGCTGTGAAGATATTGCAGTCAGACCAGAGAGAGTACCTCCCAGCTCCTCAGCTGTTTCTTTTTTATTCTCTCAGCCTCTGTTCCTTTCTGCATCAGTGCTTCAGTCCTAATCTCTTGTCTGCTGACAGTTTGAGAATAAGAGAAACAAAGGATAAGAATGATGGCACTGTAATCCGTTGAAGGTGATAGTCATTTCTCTTTGTCTTAAACACAACATACTGTGAGCAGGCAAGATGACTTGACAGGAAATATTCGCTTTTTCATTAAGTTTCAATTTACGCATGGCTTTTTCTTTCGGATGTTGTTGCTCTTGCTGCTGTGTTGTGACTTGGATATATATTTAATAAGATTGTTCTTTTAATTAAACCATAGTTATTGTGTGCAGGAACAAAGTATATTTCTTTCTGACATACGATCAGCATCACAATACAATGTTCAGGCATGAAAAAGTGAAGGTGCTTTGTTGCAGAAGATTCTAAATCGGTCAATTCTCTGACAGCAGACTTCTTAAGGCCCGAACATTAAAGGGGATTTACTCGCCAGCAGACAGACATGAGGGCTTTAGGAGACAAAATGGAGAAGTCCCCATCTGGGGGATGTTTCTTACCTATGATGTATTCGTTGGTGCTTCGCCTCACTGTCAGGATGTCATGTTTTCTTCTGCATTGTGGATCTGGCTTCTTCTTTAAACTGTGCTCGGTGTGCAAGTATTTCCAAATATTATTCAGAGACGCAAAGACACAAAATCAAAGCGAGTGATTCTTACACAAAGAGATCTCTGGACAGGGAGGTATGACTGGTAGAACCAAATATAACTTCATCAGCACATATACCTCATTCACACCAACGCAACTCCGGTTCAAGCTCCGTGCTAGAGCTTTTCAGGTTCAGAACCGGATCTTCAGTGGACCACTGCTGCTTGTTAAGTGTCTCCATCGTTGTGTACAAACTGGATACAACGCGGGCTTTTTGTTGTTGTTCAGGAGTTGATCCCGCCCCCGCCTCGACGTTAGCGTGACGTAGGTGGTGCTTTTGCTCTAGCCGGACAATTTTTTGGTGCTTGAAACGAACTGGATTCCGGAGCTAAGAGGCTGCTCCGCTGCGGTGTGAACAGGAAAACCTGGTGCTTTTCAAGCTCCAGCTCCGAACCGGCCCTGAAACACCATTGGTGTGAATGAGGTGATAGATATAAAGAACTCAAGTAAAAGTTGTACATGTTTGTCAAATAAAAAGAGATAACCAAACAATTAACGCAGGGAATCAGTAGTATAGAATAATTATTTATTGTGTCTTTTTAAAGTAAAGACCTGCATAGAATATAACTATGGCAATTTATTCTATAATAATCAGGGATGCTCCGATCGATCGGCCACCGATCGTTATCGGCCGATATTCACTCTCTGCTGATCGATCGGTGCTCTCTATAAAGGCCGATCGTGAGAGCCGATCACATGACGTAAAACACATGACACTTTTCTCTAAGCTCGCCAAAATGGCTTCACCGGTCTGGCAGTATTTTAAGATGTCCGAAAAAGACAATAAAATAGCGGTATGCAACGTGTGTGAAGCAGAAATCCTGCAGCTCCACCCGCTGTGACGGACCGGTGAGCGGAGCAAAACACACACTAAGAGTTAGAACTAACACACTTAGCTATTTTATCTACCTCTGGAACTAGCTAAACTAGTTATACATATATTTATTCTTCACTGTCGGGTCACTCATTACTGGATCAGTGAGCTGCATGAGACGATACTGACAGGCTGAGAGAGAGAGATACTGATTCCGGCGATCGGCCCCAAAATTGGCGATCGGAGCATCCCTATTTCACAATTGACTTCTTTACTTCTTTTTGTAAACATTTAACCTTAAAACTAGATATATTGTACTCTAAAAACAGGCTACATAACATGGGCTTATTTATGTTTTAAACAAACTAGTTTGCTATGATTGTACAGATGGTTTTCCGCAAAGCCAGTAGATAAGAAGAAGCTGGATACTCATTTTCTCTCCTGTGTTATTCTTTGTGTCCCACTATAGTTCTGGGGAGTTATTCTTAAAACAGGAGCATATGGTGGGAGCTGCTGTCTGGCATGGACTTTATTCATTGTCAACGACTACGATTCCCATAGCACCGACTGCTTTTTTTTCTTCCATACACAGCATTGGCAAAACCTAAAATACCAGCTTCATTTCTTTTCAGCTTTTTATTATAATTTCTATCCATATTCAGCAGGATCTGTTCAGCGCTGGTTAAGCAGGGAGACTGTGTGATATTCTAGAGGGATATTAAGTACTTGACACAATTGCATACCAAATAATGATCCTGCCAAACAACAAGGCTCTGAGTATTTATTGTATGGGGGTTAAATGAAGTGTTGTGAGATTGATTTTTATCCTTGTAATGTATAATACTAAAGCCTCAAGTTATTTTTGTCGACACAGTCAGCACAAGGAGCCCGAAAACAAGCTCCGGGTGTACACCACTTAAAATGTCACAAAGATGTTGTGTGAAGAAAATGAATGTGGCTAGAATACAGAACAAAATAACTCTGCGTTTGTCTTTCAGCTGATTAACCAGAAGATCAGAATGTGCACACAGCTGAACAACTGCAGGTCATTTGTTTCCGTGCTGGAGTACCTCCTCACCGTTGGCAATTACCTCAACGAGAACGCAAGGAAGGAAAAGGCCAAGGGATTTCGCCTCTCCTCCTTAACTAAAGTATGACTCCACTGCTGTTGCCTGACCTTTGATGGAGCTGCAGCACAAGGCTAATAAGACTACTCATTGATATACACAGCAGGGCGACTCTACATCTTCCATCATCTTCCTCTTTTGCTCAGGTTCACTCAGGACTCTGACAGTGTCACTACATGGCATCACAGGAGAAATTAAACTAGGAACAAAGTGGGGCCACTTGGGCTGAATCTCTTAGAAGTGAACCATCATTAACTGTAGCTAGTCAGTGGATCTTTTCATTAGCACAACATTTCTGGAAAACACAATCCTCATACCAGAGTTTCTAAAGTAATCCAATTAAAATGTTGTTATATCCCAAGTTTCTTTTCATTCACACAGAAACCAAAGTGTGAAAAAAAACACCTATTCTTAGCCATGGAGCAGGGACTTCCTGAAGTGTGGCAACCTTAGAATCATTCATCAAAATGTCCAACCAAGAGAAAAAAGTCCAGCACATAATCTTAATAAAACCCCAACGTGTTTAGGAATAAAACAAAAAATAAATAAGAAATTACTTAGTGAGCTTTAGAGGTGCTGGTTACTGGGGTTTCATACTTTCAGACAGAGCCATGCTAGCTTAATATTCTAATATGCTAAGCTAACCATGTACTGTCTGTAGCTTCAAATGTACCGTACAAATACAAGAGTAGTCTCAATCTTTTTATCAAGCGATTTAAAATAGCAAAAAAAGCATATTATCAAAGTGTTGAACTTTTCCTATGAAGGTTCAATAGTTGTTGGATGTACGGGTTTAAAAGGAAAGTTTAGTTTGAGCCTCTGTTTTGTGTGCATGTCTCACAACTGGGAAGGTTTAAGGGCAGGGCTCTTGACACAGAAGTAAAAAGTCCTCCGCTCCTTTTAATGAAGCCGAGGCCTCGTGTTCCCTCAGAGGTGTTTCCGGGTCTAATTGAGAATAGTAAACTGTGGCTGCTTGAGACAGACTCTCAACAAATTAATAGCCAACTGTTTCCAAGAAAAACGCATCAAGGTTATCTAAGTTCGCATTTTTGGTCAATGCGTGGTTTCTTTATTGTTTATGTTGCCCTTAGAAACTTGCCATGGCCTTAAACTGCTAATAAAAAAACCTAGAAAAAAAGACTACAATTACCTATCACGAGGTTAGAAAGGAACATCTTGCATTTCACTTATTTCACCATGAAGTGTATTATGCCTTAAATTCTATCTAATGTTGGTACTTTAAGTATAGTTGAATGTCGATACATTTGTACTTATACTTAAGTAAGATTTAAGTGCACAACTTGTAACAGTATTTTTACTATTTGACATTGTTACTTTTACTTAAGTCAAAGATCTGAGTAATTCTTCCTACCCTGCTAACTATGACTAATAATCAAAAATGACAAAAACACTACTCTTGCACTAAATGCATAATCTGGAAGCAACAGCCAGGTGTTAGCAAGGTCATTATACACCTTTGCTGTATACAAATACACAACATAGACTAGTGTGGAGGTGAATGTAGCACAGAGAGAATCCATGCTCTGCCATCCTATTCTTTCTCTAACCTTCAGGTAACAATGTTGTAGCAACAAACACACAGAAGATGCTACATTTCATGTACCGTTTTCTTCAATATGTCCTTGTTCCTCCACAGCTCTCTCAGCTCCGGGGGAACGACAGGAAGTTCACCTTGCTGCATGCCCTTGTGGAGCAGATCATGTTGCATGAACCTTCCCTGGCTGCTTTTACAGAGGACTTGGCAGAATTTGAAACTGTCCCGGGAGGTATTCGCCAATCAACATTTCCTCAAAGCTGAACAAATTCTGTGTCTTACATTTCCAATTGAGGTCTGTTAAGTGAAATGCGTATTTACTGTGTGTCACTGCTTTCTTTTTGTCTCTCTGTTGGATAGCTTCCATTAAAGGCTTGACCGCAGAAGTTGACGGTGAGTAGATCACATTTTACTACCGCGTCCAAAGACCGTTGTTCTCAAATTTGCTGAGATTACTGTAATACTGACCCTACTTTATTGTGCCGACGCAAGTTATTTGCAAGGAAGTGTGATAGTAACATTTACTATATCTTCCTGTAATTGTAGTTTCAGTATACATTGTGGAAACACTAATCTCACTGTGCTGAAAGCAATATATTGCCTTTATGATGACTAACATTTGCCACAAGCACAAATACAACACTTGACAGGATCCCACAGGACACGGCATCTGATTTAAAGCAGCCATTTGCTTCAGTGGTGAAATATGATGGATGGTAACCAAAGTGTGTGTGTGTGTGTGTTGCGCGTGTGTGTGTGTGTACACAGTGCTGAAGAATGAAGTGCAGAAAGTCATTCAGTATGAAAAAACTTTCAAGAAGAGAAATGCTGGAGGTCAACACCCACAATTCTACAAAGACTTGAAGGTGAGGCAGTAAATCCTGTGTTTATTATTTATTTAAGTATTCATTTAAAAAGGTAATCTTTGTCTCCTTGTCAACAAATGGGATTGATTATATTCATTGTTTCTTGTACTAATCAATTGTTTGCTATCGGCATTGTTTCTATCCAAAAGTAGTGTTCTTCCTCTCTCCTTCTTTGGCACATTGCTGCTTGTTATGCACCATTTCCACTACTAGGGATTTAAACAAATAGAAATCCGTTATAAGGCAAATATTATTACTTGACCAACATTAAAAAAATGTTGTACCTTCATCCAAACATCTATTTTTCTCACCAAATATTACTCTTAATGACATCCTTCGTGCTACATAAAATGTTCATTTTGTGCTGCAGCTCTCCTTAAGTTAAAACATTAGTATAATGGTGTTTAAAAATGAATATGAACTTGTTTTGTTGGTATTATTCGAGCTGAAACCATGCATATGTTTTACATTACTTGCCAGTATTCATATTATGCAAATTAATTCTCTAAACACACACCCATTCTTCAAAAACCAAGACTCATTCTTTTTAGATTTCGGTTTTCCTTCAAGCTCTAAATGTGGGCTATTCAGAGTTCAACCCTAAGAGAAAAGGTTTTTCTAACAATTCGCTAAATAGTGAACTAACTGACAAAAGGGATTTTCTTCTCTTTTTTCTCTATTCCCTAGATGGCGATTGAAAAATACAAGACCGGTCTCTCAGCACTGACGAAGACGCGTGATGAAATGAAGAAACTCTACTCTGTCATACTGGTAATCCATGAGTTATTATTTCAATATCTATCTGGTTCAGCCTCACAGACGGATAGCGCTCTGTCCACATGGCCAAACTCAATTATTTTTCATCTAACAACACCTGCCCACCCAACACACTGGGACAAAACACATATCACAAGGAAAACGTCCCCAAGGCTTCTTATTTTTCACTGGGTGTCGCTCAGGGCTCACGGCAGGATATAATGCTTCTGATGTAGGGGTTAGCTGCGGCCTCCACATCATTTAACAGAAAGCACCGCTGATTTTTCAGCCTTGGAAGACGCCACACTTAGACATTTGCATATTTTCTTCAGGATTATTGAAGAATTGTCACTGTCTGTTGTAGCCAGAGTGTGAACGACAAGTTCATCCCAACCCTTAATGTGCGATGTCACAGCTATGAATGGTCCAAAACAAGAAAAAGCTGTGAGCATGGTGGTGGGTTTCCGATGGGTTTTATTGTGTTGTTTTTTTAATGCAATGTATAAGCCTTTAAGGACACATTCCACAAAGTTATTTGTTGTATTGCTTTTTGTGAATTTGTTCTTTTTTGGAGTATACTTGGCTGCACGATATTGGAAATATCAGACCCTATATTTTTGAGGCTACAAAAGTAAAATGCATCACTCTTGTGCATTCTGAAGCAATATATTGTGCAGCACTTTAGTATAAAATAAGATATTGGTAACATGTCACAATGCAATAATTCATACTTGAACTATTTATGATCTCTGATTTTGACTGGACTCTGAGACAAAACATTATTGGGTACCACTTTACAATAAGACTACCCTTATAAAGGATTCATAAAGGGTTTAGAATTAGGTTATGAATCAGGTTGTAAACACTTTATTAATCATTAAGAACCATTTATAAACCAGTTCTAACAGTTTTCATACATCAACACAAGCTCACTATTTGGCAAGATGACTAAGCCTTATATTGGCTACTTAGTGAGAATCAACTCAGTGAACAACAGATAATAAGGATGCTGGCTGATGAAGGAGACAAAGTAAGCTAAGTAGCCAATATAAGGCTTGGCAGTACAGATACATGTGGGCTCAATATTTGGCAAGCAACCGGTCACAGTTGCCCTGTTTATCCCATGTCTTATAAAAGCTTATTAAGGATTTATAAAGTGTTCACAACCTAATTAATACATTAATTACAAACTATTCGTAAACCCTGTATAAGGGTAGTCTTATTGTAAAGTGGTACCCATTATTGTGTTCCTTATTCAGTTTGTCTGAGAACTTTAGGTGCCTTAAGCATGTGTGTGCGGACATCAGATCTGTCATGAAGTAAATGTCTCCGTCACACATATCATCAGATTGAATGGAGGTACATTGTTTTTCACAGTATATAAAAGGAGGACATCTTCTTTGCTCACTAACGTGGTTAGATTAGGTTTCTGGAGCTCCAGCCTACCATTGACATTTTAACAGGTGCTATGTCTTCTTTTTATAGTCAATACAAAAGTAATGCCTATTTTCTCAGCTTTCCCATATCTCTGAGGACAATCCATCATCGTACAGAGTCCACTTACCCTTCCCTCTGTGTTTGAGCACTGTGATATTACGAGATCTCTGGGCTTTAGGACCGGTAGAGAATTGTGTTCGATTAGGATCACAATTAGATTCATGTGCACTGCAAACTTTTTTCATAACTCATACACGAGGAAGCAAAGGGGAAGACAACTGAAAACAGTCAATGCTATTGCTATATAGCAGAGCACAAAATAATAGGGATATCTCTCTGATAGGCCATTAGCGGGTGCGTTTTCACAACCAAACGAATCTCGATTATAAAAAAAAAGGACTCATGTTGATAGTTAACTGATTGAGAAATTATTTCACACAGTGACGTCACGAGCTACCCACAATGCAACACGCGCCATATATATATAAATACGCCATTTTCATGGAGGTGCAAATATCCTGGAAGTGCAAATATAAACAGCTAGCTAACGTAGCAAGGCAGAGCGCACTAGGTTTTTTTTCTGAATTAACGACCGAAGAAATCGCTGCATGTTTTCGGATTACATCTCTGGACTGGAGGGGTGTGCTCTAGGTCGTTACCAGCGTAAACTAGAGCTGTGTGGGTTGTCGGATTGCCCTTACAGACTGCGTCGATTTTGGCTGCATCTACGTCTAATTTCTGGAAACACCAGGTGAATACCCCACTTGTCACAATAATATTATCATGCCATTGCATATATGTGGTATTTTAGAGTTGACTAGATATTGATTAAGGCAATAGACTATGATATTCAGTACAGGAAGCTTAGCAACACCTAGAAGGTGTACGGCTAAACCCTTGGCCTGCTTGCACCTCGCATAAAACGGCGGATACCGGAAGTACGGTGTCGCCCTCGGCCCAATACCCGTATGTGTGTGTGAAAGAATTGCGATATGTTTTGCGATATTGCTGATTTTTGAATTGTGATTCCACTAACATTTTGGATTAACTGTGCAGCTCTACTCTAACACCTCTTCCTGTTTAATACGAGAAAAATAACAAGGGGTTTATGCAATGGTTTTTGCACGTTATGTCTTGGCTTATAGCTGACATGAAGATTGTGACAAGAGTGAAACAGCTAGCATAAGGCCCCATTTACACGGAAACGCAAACTAACCGCAAACTAACTCAATTCGATATCAAAAAAGCATTCCGTTCACGGCTCAATAAACGTGTCCCTTCACACGAGACCGCTCGACCCGCTGGAGACGCTGCAGTACATATGCCGGGCCTGTAAGTGGCGCTGTACTTCCGCCACAAAATACACCAAAAGCAGCGAAGAAGACCCCCGAGCATGGTTGCCCGGTTGCCCTTCTGTTTATTCTCCGCGGTGGATTTAGCAACATGTAGTTCATGTAGTTCTCCATGTCCACTTGTTGCTGATGGTTGTGGTAGAGGAGCTATAGATTTTGCACTAACATCTGTAGCATGGTCAGTAGCGGTAGTAGTAGCTACTGACCATTTAAATAAAGAAAATCGTTTTATTTCGATTACGTTGTTTTCGTAATCGTTGCAAGCCAAAATCGTAATTGCGATTAAAATATGATTAATTGAGCAGCCCTATACAGAAGTGAGCAGGAGAGGCGGGGCTATGGCTTCATCGTTATCAGGCAAATGATCGTTCAGAGCGTTCCGTCTGCAGATCTATCCACCTTGGGACCCGTTATCGTTTTAGGGGTCCGTTTCCGCGGTTCTGTTACGGCCTCGTGTGAACGAACGGGCTATACGAAAGAGAAAAGTAGCAGATACAACCAGTTTCGTTCTCGTGTAAACAGCACCTAAGTGACTTCCTGGAGTGTCAAATCAACACCCTTATTCGTCATTTTAAAACGTTGATGTTTGTACAGGACAAACAAGATATAATGTGCTACTTAATGAGCTTTAGAAATGCCTTGGACCACTGCAGGGCTGTTTCCTAATGGTTCCAGTCATGAGTATATTGATTCTCTCATGTAATTCTTGGCAAGAAAGCAATTTGGGGTAAGACGAGAGAAGATGTCAACAACATTTTCAGTAATGTACTGCAACACGTAGAGTGAGCCAAACAAATGCCAGTAAAGATGATGTCCATGTTTTACCTACATTTTTAAATCGTTTTTCTTGTGTTAAGGTTGAGATAGGGGACAAAAAGTTTCTAGTGTGGATCTACTGTATCCGTTAGTATTGTAAAATTGAACTGATAATCATACAAATGTTTTAAAAATCCCATCTAAAACAACATATCGTGGGTTTTGAGGATAAAGTGTCAACTAATTCTTGAAAGTGAAGGCATTCTTACAGTAAAATCCTAAATATTTCATTATTATTCCCTATTATTCAACATAAATCACTCCTCTATGTATAATTGAAAATGGTCTGGTGGTGTAATGGTATTGGCCTTTTAAAATTCAACAATTTGACCTTTAACTGTCCCCATGTCTTCTGGCCAGGAGTTGTTTTTAATCATCTGGCTGCGGAGCCAAAAAACACCATTATTCCTGCATGTTTAAATGAAATTTGCACCAGAGGATATATTTATTAGTCACGACCTTGTGAGTCTGTGTGTGTGAGTGGCGAACCGTGTCTATCACAACTGGACCTTCGGTAGTCCGAGTCCAGTTCGGTAGTAGTAGTTATTTATATGGTGTTTTGGCATCCAGGCATATCTGTGACTTCTACACTATGATCAAGGCAGCAAAAGTGTTGATTTCAGTCATGGCTTATCAAATGTTGTTGGTAACTACATGGCAATGACACGTCTTGTCTGAATGACGCTAGTAAACGCAAATGATGCTGCGGTCAAACTAACGCCAGGCTAATAATTGCCTTGCGTTGTGTGTGAATGAAATATTACATATGCTGATAAAAATAAAGGCTGTGTTCAAAAATGGGAGGTTGGCCCAAAAAGGGTCATGGGCTCCGAAACTTTGAGCCCAGTATGCAGTATGGCCTCTAGTTTCACTGTGGGGACCCTGGGTGTTTCTCAATGTCGAGGAAGGCTCCTCCAGAGCCACTATTTCAAGGATGCTACGTCATCGAGTCCCGCCAAAAGACTGTTCCAATGTCCAGGATCCTTGGAATTCTACCGAGGCCGGCGTCCTTCGTTGCGGGAACATTTTGAGGCTGCACATGTGTATCTTCCGCGGTCTTAAAATCCCCACAATGCTTTGCGCACGGACCAATTTCCAAAATCTTTGGCGGAAATCGCGCTCCATTTAAGGCGGGGCCTGACGCACACCTGCTAGCCTGTTCCACAATTCTTTCGTTTTCCGAGGCTAGGAAGGATTCTTGCCTCGCTTCTGAAGGACCTGACTCGGAAGACATGTCCTACCAAGAAAGCGTCCTCGACATTGAGAAAAATAAAACACCCCCTGTTTTATTATTGTGGTCCCTCCTGTATGTGCATCATTGGAGGAAATGATTGAGACGGATGGGAGGGAGGGGGTGGTACTATGTGCAGGGGCAGCATGTTTGGAGAAAGGTGTCATATTTAGTCAGATCTTGTCACTGGGGGAATTCATAATGTAAAACCAACATGCAAATGTGTTAATCACAGAAGAAGCTCATGGAAATGATTGAGGGTTTGAATTTGGAGGGGTTGTTTTTTTCTGTAACATGCTTTATCATCACATAGCGGCTAGCCTCTATACTTTATTATCAATTGAGAGAGACTAGTCCACCTTAGCAACTACTGATGATTATGAATGTCAACTATTGTCAAATAAAAGTCTATTACTGACATTGTTGGTTTTAGTAAACCAATGATTCATTTGAAGGAGCTCCAATTTTTTTATTTGATGTTTAGCATTATTTACCACAGTTCAATATGATGGCTGCATGATTGTCAATATAGAATACAACAATTATGAAAAAATAATATTATTTGAAAAAGGAATCTGTAGAATATGATTTGCAGGCTGCGATACCTCTGCATCTCCACAATAGATCATTCAAAATGGTATTTAAACATTTATTTAACCTTTAAAATACATTATGCTTCCTGCAATTGGAATATTGTTGCAATATTGACAACATTTTAATGAATTGTTGAGCCATATACAATGGTTGCACAACATAATCAATGCAGCCATCAGTCAATCACATTTAACAGCTCCCTTTATTCTCCTAAAGCAAGTTTAAAGTGTAGCTGTGGAGTTGTTGGTTTTACTGAGCACAGCACGTCTGTAAAAATGATTGAGGCTGATCAACTTTTAAGAGAGGATTACTTACATAAACTGAGTAAAAAATATTGTCACAAAATTATGCAATTAGATGGATTTGCATATCTGATGGCGAGAGTGCAGGTGTTGCTAATTGACTGACAATCTGGCTCTCTATATTAGAGATTTTTGAAAACAGGTCGTCGCACACCTGTGTAAATATCAGAAGGCTCACTCACTGACTGACTATGTTTGTTTTCATGCACCAATGTTCAGCTTCTAAGAATTCCTACTAAGTTGTACACGGCTAGTAATGAAAATTATATTTCCATTTAACTGCAGCCTGATCAGATTAGATGTACGTCCTGCTACGGCTATGCCCTTTAAATAACTTAAATGTACCTCCTTTTCTATCTTTGTCTTAACTTTGTTCATCTCAACACAAGCCTTGCAAAACTGTTAATTGGTTGGACAACACACAGCTGGCCCAACACAGACAAAAGGCATTGTGTTTGAAAATTGCAGTAAAATTGAGACACATATTCACAAATGTAGTGTATACATGTAGGGGCGAAAAATACCGGTTACTGGCGGCTAAGGTATTGCCGTACCGAAACTAACTCCGGTTTTGATACTTTTTTATTTTTTTATAAAGTGAGGGTGAATATCCTTAAACCCGCACCCAAACCGTCGGAATTACGATGTCAATTTCGCCATGAAACTCCGCAAACGAGTCACTTTAGAAAATCTAAAGTTTGGCTGCATATGACTGCCAGTCTGAATGGTGGGGTCTGTAACCACTGCCAGTCTGAATGGTGGGGTCTGTAACCACTGCCAGTCTGAATGGTGGGGTCTGTAACCACTGCCAGTCTGAATGGTGGGGTCTGTAACCACTGCCAGTCTGAATGGTGGGGTCTGTAACCACTGCCAGTCTGAATGGTGGGGTCTGTAACCACTGCCAGTCTGAATGGTGGGGTCTGTAACCACTGCCAGTCTGAATGGTGGGGTCTGTAACCACTGCAAGATGTTTATTTCTGGGAAAGGTGGCAACAAATCCAACCTCCAACCAATGCTGTCTCGTATGGCAACCAAGTACCTTTGTGTTCAGGGAAGCAGCGTGCCAAGCGAGAGAGTGTTCAGTTCAGCAGGTGATATCCTACGCTGTGAAAGGGCCCGTTTGGATCCAGAGAGCAGATATGCTCATCTTCAAGAAGATGAATGCACAAAACTGAACTGTGATGGGATTTGTTTTCTTTCATCAGGCAAATGTTGATTTGAATGATGCTATTTGTTTTATGTGCAATGCCGAGATCTCATGATCCTTTATGTGTTCGCTGGTCAGTCGAATCTCAGGTTGAATATTGATTACAGTATACTGGTGCAATTTTCTTTTTCCATTGACAAGATGTACTATTCACGCCTGATGGTTGTTATAAATGATATTGCAGAATCAGTTTTCTTCATAGATAACGTGTGTTTCATTGTTTGTTCAGTACTGAAAGGTCCAAGTCCCACAATTGAATTTAATATTCATTTGACATGTTAACTATATCATAAAGCGCTTCATGGGAGTAATTGCAGGATGATTAAATGTTTCCCTTATGCAACATGAAAGTATCACGATATGTATCGGTATCGTTCAGTGGTATCGGTATCATACAAAAGTCAACGATATGCAACCCTATATACATGTCCAAAGAATGCTCCTATGTGCTGAGTATCGTTGTATCCCTTGATGGAAAAAGGCAACATTTGGCCTTATAAGGACTTTTTAGCATAATCAAACTAGTTTGTCATATATACTCAAATTCTGAATAAAAGCTGGATATTAGTGTGCATGTAAACAGAGTCACTGTCAGAGGTCACGTTTTGAGATGTTGGAAGAACTTAAGGATGTTTTAGACAGGGATATTATTTAAAGACTTAATCTGTCATCTAGTGTTATGAATAATTCGCTATATATTTCTAATGATGGTGTTTAGACTTTCAATACATTAAAACAAATGTAGGGTTTGTTTCCATTTTTCCATCTTTTAATAAAGTTATTCTTAGTTCCATGCCAAGGAATTGGACTTTCATATCCAATTGTTGTTAGATTTGGTGGAAAAGTGTTTGCTTTTGAGAGAGTTCTTCAATAAATAAATGCAAGCAGGAAGAAGGATACGGCCATGAGAACAAATTCCCCTTAATAAATAAAACATGAACATGAAATCTAAGTTGAATACAAAATATATGACACATAAGACGTTACATTGGAAGAGACGTGAAAGCGATTGGTCAGTAATCATATAAATAGAATAAGGAAATATAGCGCCTTGTGTTTTTCTTTTAATCTGTTTAACATAATTAAAGAATTTGAAAGAGTGACAGCAGCATATTTTGAGTCTGACCTTTAACCTGCACATTTAACAGCATGCAATACCCCAATTAGCACACTTAGCCTCTGTGACCCTTTCTGATAAAGTTTGACTTCCTTTTTAATTCTGCGACCTTAATCACCCAGGTGAAAGTATTAATTCAACAACCCTAACCCTGCATATCCGCCTCATTGTATGAGAGCACTCAAGGAATTAACTGCATGCCGAGGCAGTATGTGAAGTAATTATGTGTAAGAAGAATTAGCTTGACTCAGGCATCATTTCACTTAGGAAAGTAAAGGCAGTTGCTAATTGTAAACTACTTTGTATAAGCTCAAAGAGTCTCAAGAAGCCCACTTGATGTCAGACCAAAGGTTTTTAATTTCTATTCAACTAATCCTGTTTTTTCTCCTGTCAAGGTGAAATTCGGTGAACCAGCGGACCAAGACTCTCAGGAGCTCTTTGGGCTGATCTGTCAGTTTGTCCATGACTTCAGGGGGGCTCACGCTGAAATGATATGAGTTTAGAGTAGCCGCTGAGACTTCAGTGATACTTATTAAACAAACCAAAGAGAGATCTGATAGTCTTAGTCACACTTCAGCGGGATAAAAATAATAAACACTTTGAATGCAGTGTTTGATATAAGTAGACTGTTGCATCGATGTATATTTGTTCAAGCTATTTGTATTTTTCTTTGTTGTTGTACAGATGTATTTTAAAGGCCATTGGATGTGATGTATGTGTACAATGCACCTGGATGAAAGGATGATAACGCTGTGAACAATAAAACTGATCCATGTCACATTTATGCTTGAAGTCTGTTTGATTTGAGTTGTTTTCAGAGAAATCAGGAATGCATTTTGATAATCCAGCGCTGTGTATGCTGTGTCGTGCTGCTAATACCCACAGCTGTCTGCTGGCAGAAGTACAAAACACACTTCCCTTCAGATGGCAGCTGAGGCTGGTGTACTCTGGCTGTGAGATTATTCTGAACATGCAACCGCTCTGTGATCGGGGACGTTTCCTTTCCCAGTGATCCAGGAGTAGCTCCAAGGCCGCCTCTGATTTAGAAAAAACACATCTGCACTGTGGCATGATGAGAGACTAAATTCACCTTCAAAAAGGTAGAAAGATACTCTAAGCACGGGTTGGAACTGATGTATGTGCTGGACAGGTATGTGTGTGTGAGACACTAATCTGTTTTAACAACAAAAACACTGATCCTTACTTCGAACTGTAGTGATACAAAGAACTAGGCCCTTTACTGAGCAGGAACATCTGCATATTTTCTTCTAAAAAGGGAGAAACTCCTCATTAATTGGACATAGCGTCTTCAGTGGTAATTCATTAGAAGGAAACCGATTGCCATTAAATGTATCAAAATTGTAGCCGAAATCAAAAAGAGATTAGTGGCCTGATTTCCTGGTTCCAGCTTCACAAATGTGAAGATTTGCTGCTTAATATTCATTTTGAGTTTTTAGGTAATCACTTTATGTAAAAAGTAAAAACCAATCACTATTTCAGATCCAAATAGACCATTTTGTCTCCTTTTTTGTGAGGTTGGGTTTAACAGGGTAGACACGTTGGTTCTTTGGGGAGAGAGCAGGTCACGAGTATACCAGATACTAGGGATGTAACGATACCAAAGACTCACAGTACGATAATATCGCGATAACAAGTCCACGGTACGGTATTTATCGCGATATTGAATAATAAAGGGAAAAAAAAAAAATGTCAATACACTTTTTTTACTCGAAAAATGTTTCTTTATTAAATAATATATCTGATTTGTACAGCATTTTAGTAGGATAGCAGTATTTTAAAGTGTCAAAAACAAAGTGACAGTAACAGACTGGAACAAGAAAACCAGTGTTTTTGTACCTACTAGTTAGTACTACCAAACAAAGTAGGCATTTTCTTTGTGCCACTGCATCTCACAAATAAACAAGGACATTTAATAATCAGACCCTGCAATAAAATAAATCAAGTGTCACTTTAGTTTTTCAAGTAACTCAACTCAAACCCACTAGTCACTCACTCAGCATCATCAGACATGTTTTTAGGAATATAAGAATGTCCACATTTCCAGGTATTTATAAGCTGGGATGTTTGGGCATTTACAATATCCCCTGCTCTGGAAAAAACTCTCGCTTGGTACTGATGTTACTGGGACAGCAGTGGTCGCGTTAACCGAATATTTTATTTAACAATGACGGAAAAATCTGAAAGAAGTCTGTCATTTTGACAGATTAGAACAAACTCGGAACAGCGCCAACGTTTCCCCGCAGCGAGGCTCTGGTGTTATGCATGCCCTCCAAAAGGAAATGATATAGTTTCCAAACCGTACTTTGCCGTACAGATCAATACATGTCTGGGAGGTTTTACTTTACGCTGTGCGCGCTCCCACGAGGTGCATGCACACACGGCATAACACCGCCCCCCCCGTTGACAGTTCACGAGCGTGCTCTCTCGTGAACTGTTCAGACCCGACCAAGGCCGCCCCTTGCCAACTTGGGGCCCCAAGCGACATTGTGAGATGAGGCCCCCCCCCAACCGACAGGAGTGAACAAATGTTTGCAAATATAATTCCTGTTTATTATTATTATCAACAGTTACTTTTGTATACAGTGAGGTAAATGTGCATGTATGTCGTTCAGTATGTGTTTACAGGTGAATACGTCTGCGGCTGCAGCGTTTTTAGCGATCGCGGCCACTCTAGTCAATGGGTGCTATTCCACCAGACCCGCTGCGCCGCGGCTCGAAGCGTCCCAGAAGCTCCTCGCCGCAAGGAATTTCTAAAATATAGGATGAATCCTATTTTTGACGTGGCGCAGGCAGGAAGTGGAACGTTCATCCAACAACTGCGAGGCTGCACACACGACGCTCCGCTTCCGCAACGTTTTGAAACGCGCCTGGTGGGTTATGACGCAGGAGGAGGTCGCAGCGCAGACGCAGCGCAGACGCTTCCGGTGGGATCAGGGGGTGAGCGTCACCATGAAATGTGCAAATTGACATAAAAATGAATAAAAGGGGAAAAAATGCTCCATGTTTTTTAGGCTGTAAACTTTAACTGTTATGTAAGCCAACTAGACAGACAGTGTATCACTCTTCCTCTTGTACATTAGCAGATAAGAGGCATAACATACTTGAATGAATGGTAAATAAAGAATGCTGGAAATAACTTTAGCCTATATGCTCTGCAGAGACTGCCTTCTTCATGTCGTGAATTGCAGCTGATATTTTAATATGGCAATTGGCAATTTGACTTATACAACATTAGCAAGTTGTACATTTGATTCATACAATAATAACCCACCTTCGAGTGATGCTCTAGTTTCTTCATGTTTTGTTTTTTGCGCCGGACTGAAACTGTCTTTTCACCAACATCTCTTTACCTGCACTAGTGGCCGTATCAAAGCCGTGATTGGTCAGATGTCGATACATTACAACGGTGTCGGGTTACAAACGTGCTCCCCTTGTCTCACCTCTCACTCTCACTCTCACTCTCGAGGGGGGTGCGCAGAGAACTGCGCACAGCAGCTGAGGCCCTCTGGGCGGGGCCCCCTGTGCAAGGCGGGGCCCCATGCAGCCTGCGTGATTGGCCTGTAGGGAGGGGCGGCCCTGAGACCCGACGGGTAATAAGCACATCCATGGTAATAAGGGATTATGACGGACATTTTACGATCCTGTCTGTCAAAATGACGGACAGCGAAAAAGTCTAACGCCACCTAGTGGGACGGAGAGATATGCTTTGGCCATGGGTGACAGCAGTGGGTCAAACTGTGCATTGTCTCTCCACCACTTCAAAAACAATACAGTTGCCAAGAAGGAGGCTTATTGACAGGGCGAGATATACATGTTGGTACTTGTCAATGTCTCTAGGTGTGTAAATGTAGCCCTGTAAATACGATGTCCTTTTGTGTTCTGTTGTTTTATGTTCATGTTGTAACCTACTTGCTGCCATGTTGGACAGGTCTCTCTTGAAAAAGAGATCGATGATCTCAATGGGACCACCTGGTTAAATAAAGGTTTAAAAAAAAAAAAAAAATGTTTTTTAAATTTTTTTTATTTTTAAAATCGCGGTAGATTTTGTCAGTCTCACGACGGTATTGGGACGTTTATTTACCGCGATACCGTGATATTCGGTATATCGTTACATCCCTACCAGATACTGTTTGTATTCATTTATCTGTAATAAGGTTTGAACTGTAAAGGTATTTAAATAGCATTGTTACGGTTTTTCCTTTCCTGTAGTGTCACACAGCTCAGTAAAGACTGTGAAATGTTGACTTTATTTGATCATTTGT